TGAAGTTTCAAATGTAAAAAAAATGGTTTCACGGGTCTCGCAAAAACAGGTTGGTCTCACGTGATCCCAAGTCTCTCTCTCTCTCTCTCTCTCTATATATATATATATATATATAGGATTGTATTCACGTGAGATCCATAAGACTACTTTTTTACACTTAAAACTTCACAGCAAAACATTGTGAAGATAAAAAATCCGAATCTTCACAGTGAATGCTAATATCTGTTACTTGAAAACTACAGTCATACAACTTGTAGAAGACAGATATAAAACACCTTCATCTAGGGAATACCTGATATAAACTTGATTCATTAACATCTTGATTTTGTATGAGATACAGTCTGTGTACTTCATGTTTTACTGGTTATACGAGATGTAGTGTTAGTATTTTCTGTTGACTTGTTGATGAACTTGACTTTCGTTATTTGAACAGTTCTTTTCCTTTTTTTTTTCTTTTTTCTTTTTTCTTTTTCCGTTTATTAAAATTCAATCTCTTTTTGAAGTATATGATATTTATATATAAATGAAACTCACATACGCTTCCGACATTTGGTGATATTGGAACTCTTGATCTGTAGAAAGGTTCGGTTAGCGAATACCGCTAAGCTAAATATGTCAAATCTTTCTATTATGTTATGTATGTGGAATCTCGATATCTGTAAAACGATAACGGATTTGTATTTACATCTAATTAGACCGAACTCCCATTACTGCATTGGATCTTTTCTACTTTTTTCTATTGGCTCGATTTCCAGTAAACACATATATACACATTGTTATATAGATACTGCTTGAAAAGAATAACAGGTGTACAATAATAAGGAATATAATTCGTTCAGGAAAAAAGTTAAATTTGACAAACCGGTACAGAACAAAATGCAAGTTTTAGACAAAGAAATCAACGGATGTATATACCGGACACGATGAGATGAATTTCAAAATATCAATCAAATTCAGTACATGAAATTATTAATCTGCCAAAACAAATAATTGACAACACTTCAGTATCGTTTGAAAAAAAATATATGTTTTTTTATTTACAAAATTTAATAATTTAAACAGTGTTGTTATGCTTTTCTGTCTTTTCCGATCACTTTTCAGTAAAAAAGTAAATATAATCGTAACATAAAGATGTCAAAATATTCAATCCCGTGTTCTTTTTGATAGAATTTTCATCCATATAAAAAACCTTACTTTCATTATTAAATATTCGTTCTCATTTATGTTTTTCTTTAAAAAAATATATATTTAAAAATACATTTTTGAAGTATATAATATTTATATACTAAAAATGCAACAAATAAACTCACACACTTCTCATTTTTGGTGAAGTTTAAATCCTGACCTCCTAAGAGACCAAAGACTACAATACCGCTAAGCCAAGTGGGCTGTTGGTAACATTTAAAAATATTATTATCTATTATTTATCGAATAATATTCAAATTTAAAAATATTTAATTATTTTTAAAAAAAATCATTACAATAAACCCAATTTTTATAGTTAAATTTACTTGAGGATAGTGAATATCCATTTACATGAATTAAAGTTATAATAATTACAATGTTTGGATATATTAATCATGATTTTTATTTAAATCTATAATCAAAATAATTATATTTTGAATAATAAGATATAAAATTATATTGATTAATATTTAATAAAATCCAATAAATTACTAATTACTTTGAAAATGCAATTGTTGAAATACCCCTAACCCTAACATTATTGAATTAGTCATATAATGTTAAATGGGCTTCAATTTGGGTTAAATTTAGTAATTACTAATAATATTGGGCTTCAATTTGGGTTAAATGGGCCAAGTATTAATATCTTAATATAATTGAATTAGTTACGGGTGAATAGTGATGGCCAAAAACAGGTCCCGGGCCGGGCCGGTTTGGCCATCACTACGGGTGAAAATGGGTTGGGTTGATTAAGTTAAATTTGGATGTGTTTGAATAACTGGACTCGATATTTATGATTTAAAAAATCTTAACTTAACCAAAACCGAACCGTGTGTTTAGATTTGGTTGGGTTGAATTAAGTTGGCTGCGTTCAAAGCTGAAGAATATTGTTATTTTTCTCGTTTGGATATTCAAAGATTTTAAGAAATCCAACTGAGTTTTAGGGGTTTCGACTTTTTAAGAGTGTCGGTTGATCTGGTAGGGTTGGTCAGTTTAAAGGCATTTTAACAACCTAACACGCATTTGCGGTTTACAAAATCTCAGTCCAACCCAACTCGAAGTTTGTGGTTTACATAATCTCAATCTAACCCGACTCAATGTTTGCGATCTGGGTTGATCGAGTTGGGTTGGTCAGGTTTTGTCCACCTTATAACCAACACAACTATTGCAATAACTTTTATAGCGTTCTAGAGTAAAGTATAAGATTGTTCTTGAGTTTGCACAAACTTCAGTTTTTGTTCTCTAACTTTTGAAAATTACAAGAATTTTTATTGGGCTCTATATTTTATTACGGTTTTCATCCCTAACAGTTAATAGCGTTAAAGACATCGTTAAGTGTTCTCACATGCTAGTCACATGAGCGGAATTTTCGTCATTTTACCCATTTTTTCATTAAAATAATTTTTATACGGATGGTGACAGAGATGCTTTGTTTCGTCGCGCTTCTAGCATATATTTTGGGTAGATTTAAAGAACGTTAACAGATAGAGATTGAGACAGGGACGGAAGAGGTATCTGTGTTTCTGGGAAGTGGAGCTCTGTTATCGGGAGATGTTCTAGGGATGCAACGATGATGAAAGGGGTTTTTATTTTATAAATGCTTTAAAGGTTTGTACTCAAGATTTATATACTTGTACACCGACTTTTATTATAAAAATATGTAAAATTACCAAATTGCCCTCACATGACTCGGGCATAAGGCACTTAACAAACAAAAGGTAAGAGTTCAAACGATGATGGAGTATTTCCCATAACAAAATACAAACTCGAATACTTGATCGATGATCGATCCACTTACTTCTATTATGTCGATACTAATAACTACTATTGAAATTCTTGTTCTTATCAATAATTATATGTCATATGATCACGAATAATTCTTGTAATTTCCAAAAAGTTAAAAGACGAAAACCAAAGTTTGCACAAATTCAAAAGACCATTTTGTTAATTTACTATGAAGATAAAAAAACTGAATCTTCACAACAAAAACACTGTGAAATTTAACAGTGTTTTGTTGTGAAGTTTCAAGTGTGAAAATCATGTATCACATGATCCCAAGTGTATATATATATATATATATATATATATATATATATATATATATATATATATATATAAGGGGCTATCAAATGAGAATTAAATAGTTTGTGGTAACTGTGAGATCCAATATAAGTCAATCATTTTAGATAATTAATGTTATTTACTAAAATAAAATAAAGGGTAAATTATTAAATTGTGTTGATTATTCAATTTACTTTAATTAATTTAATATTCCAATTTACTAATTTTAATATATGTATATATACACACATGGATACACAAGGACTAAATCCGGTGGCTTTCTCCGACACCCACCACCACTCCGATGACCTCCTCCGATCATCTTGTCTGGCCAAGACGTCGTATCCGATGATCGACCACTAAACACACACCTCCGACAGTGGTATCACAGTGGTCTCAAAATTTACTTGGTATGTTTTGGGTATCATATTGCATGTATTTTGGGTATCACATTGTTTATTTTGGTATATTTTGAGTATCACATATTGTTTGTCGGAGACCCAAGGTAGGAGAGAGAGAGAGAGAGAGAGAGAGAGAGAGAGAGAGAGATAAAAAAAAATTAAAATACCTAAAATGCCCTTTAATTATAATTTTAAGTCAAATTACCAAAAATATTAGTTTTCTAATTTATCATTGAGATTGTATCTTACAGTTATCACAAACTAATCAATTATCTATAAAAAGATGTTACACAACAATAAAGAGCTATTTATTTATTTCTTTCCCTATTAAAATCTCTTTAAAGTAAAATAATTAAAGGTCAACGAATAAACCATCTTAAACTCATTAAGCAAAAACAAACTAAAAACTCTATAAAACTTATTCGATAAGTGTTATCAGTAAAATTCAACATTATTACTTACTTACCGGATAAGATTTTAGTCTACCAAAACGACACCATATGCAATAACTTACCCAATAAGCTCTTACCATGGTAAGAGTCATACCGGGTAGACACTTGTTCCTTCGTATTGCTCTTATCAGATAAGGTTCTTGGTTCTTGTCATATTCATCCGGTAAGGTAATATGACTTGGTAAACACTTACCTGAATACATTTAACCATCTTAACCAACCCAAAGGCCCAAAGCCATCCCAAGGAACAGTGAAGCTTCATAGGGTCTTTCAGACCCATTACATAGAAAAAGTGAGCCATCGGTTCAGGTACCACCTAAACCATAGGCAATTATAGATGCTGTAACAAGACTTTATAAGAAAATATCAAACTCAATTACTATATATGTCCTTGCCAATGACGATGCTTCTGTTAGTTTGTAAATTTTCGCCAAACCCTAAACCCTAAACCCTAAACCCCAAATTTCACCAACTATTCTAGATTTTCCGGTTCTACTATTGTAACCAACCTAAATGAATATTACTAATGAAAAAATATTCCACGTACTGTGGTACAAAGATACAGTCAGATTTAGTTACGAGTGACTTAAATTGTATTCTACAACATGCATTTTTAAGAACGTTACGCTAACATATCTGCAATGATAAATTATCTGTATCTGGACTTATAAAGAGGTGGAGTGACTTTGTCGTAAATACACGACAAGTCCAGGTTTAACCCTGGGCCTCCCGCTAGCCTCAACCATCGAATAAGCTAAAAACACGCCTTTTACATTTCTACCCTTGGAAAAGGGTTTTGTGGGGCCGGTTGAAATTGTCGGTAATCAAATTTTTGTCTAAATAAATGTGATATTTTTAATAAATAAAACAATTAATTTTCAAAGAAGGAAATATTAAAAATCTAGCTTACATATTCAGTTTCCAAAATTGGTTTGGTCCGAGTTCCCAACGCCATCGGCACCTTAGCACGACCCACGGCGGCGACGGTCAACGGAACACCGCCCTCCGCCGCATCTTTCATCCTTCCGATCCTCTTCGTCCCCCTATACCATCTCACCCACATCACCAATACTCCCACCACCGCCGCCAACAAAACCCCACCGGCCACCGACCCACCAACCCACCACCCTTTTTTCCTCCCTCCATTACCACCACCACCTCTGCCACCGGCAATCGGATCCTCCGTCACCCGCGGCGGCGGCGCCACCGGCGGCGGCGTAATCTCTTCAACAACTATCCCGAAATGCCCTTGTGTTACGCTTGAGCAAACACTCCCATTCATCACGTGATCAAATGCAACCCCACCAAATAAATCAAAAAACACACATTTTGGCGAAACCCCATTTGGCAAAATCCCCAAAGTTTTGAACGTTACCAAAATGGGGTTTTCCGATGCCCGGAGATCCAACTCCGGCAACCCTTTAGCCGTCAAATCCATGGCATTGTAAGCCAATAAACCCACCACCGGCGACAAAAACAAATATCCCGGCAGAGGATAGTAAAGAGACGACAAGTTACCCAAATTATGATAGACCAAAATAACCCTCTCAACATATGGATTCTCCAAAATACCCTTGGGAATATCGAACTCTTTATACCCATGAAACCCTCTCTTCCTCAAGCTACCGGTTCTTAGGCGGAGGGCAGAAACGGTAGCTCCGGTCAAATTGGACGGCACATTGCCGTCGTAGACGACGCCGGTTCTCGGCCGGCGGCGAGAAAATGGTCGGAAAGCATAGTCTTGGAGAACGGAATCAAGAAATCTTGATGAAAAGGAGAGTTGTTGGGTGGGTAATGATGATTGAGCTTTGAAGATTGGGATTTTTATGAATAAAATGGTGAAAATTAGACAATAATAAGCAAAAGAAATCATGGGTTTTGGGTCAAAATGGTTGGTGTTTTGGTTCAAGCATATCAGGAATCTTGATGAAAGAGAGTAGGTAAAGATGAGACTTGAGAGTGGAGTATAACGGTTCGTTCTTGAAATAAGTGTGAAAATAAATTTTTTACTTTTAATAAAATAAAAAATATTATAAAAAAAATAATAATAGGAGAATCAATGAGATCTAAGGAGGAAAAATATAAATTTAATATATATTTTTATATTAAAAACATTTTAGGTATTTATATATATATATATATAGAGAGAGAGAGAGAAGAGTTTATTTAAGAAATAAATAAGTGATCATATCCCTTTATTTGGTCAACATTTACGGGTTTGACCGTAAAATATCAGATAATTCCTTACATGGTATGGGAAAGATAGGTGAGTAGTTTCGTAAATTTTATGGATAAGTGACAAACAAGTTCATATGTGAACCTATACGATTCACATCTAAATTATATGTTAATATATGAACCCATCAATTAGTTCACATGTTTCATATATGAGTCAGTTAATTAATTCATATGTGAATCGGTTAATATGGTTCATATGCTAATTACACAAGTTCACATATGAACATATAGTTCATATGTGAATCACATAGGTTCATATATGAATCCGTTTGCTGCATATTTATAAAAGTTACTAAACTACCATTTCTATTTTTCTCATAACCATAATTTTTGACCAGTTAAAGATGCAACCATTGACCAGTCAAATCCGATCTTGATCGTATGAAGGGTTATGATCACTTTTATATTTCTCAAATATTACCACTTCTCAAAATAACCTACAAAGGATATTCAAACAAAATAGTAACCAAATAAGTAAATACAAAAATAACCAAATTACATACAAAATCACATATGATTTTACACTAATGGTCAACGTGGCCCACAACCTTAGGTCGCAATCAAAGTCGCATGAAGCACAATATTTTAATATAAAAACCACATATAATTCAACCATTTTCTTATTCATTTATTTGATTATTATTTTCATACGAACTTGATATATATATATATATAGAGAGAGAGAGAGAGAGAGAGAGAGAGAGATGAGTGATTAAATGAAAATCACTCTCATTTGTAAAAACCGTACAAACCACCTTCATACGTCGATTTCATTGCTTAATCTTATGAAAATTTTTCATGAAATTGTTTAATCTTGTGATATTGTTTCATATAATATTTTTTTTGATAAATTTGTTTCATATATGGTTATGAAATTGTTTCATATAATATTTAATGAAATTTTAATGAAACTGTTTCATGTATTTCTCTAAAATTAAAATAATGAAAATGATAATATCCATGATTAACACACTCCACAACAAAAATGGTTAATCAACCTATCATAATTATAAAAAAAAGAACAAAATAAAAAATTATGATTGGTTAAATGAAATTTTTACTGTTTTTACAAATTGAGTGGTTTTTATTTGAATGATCTTATATATATATATATAGAGGAGTGATCATATGAAAACCGTCTTCATTTGTGTAAACCGTGCAAACCACCTTCATATATCGATTTCATTGTTTAATCTTATGAAATTGTTTCATGAAATTGTTTAATCTTGTAAAATTGTTTCATATAATATTTTTTTTGATGAAGTTGTTTCATATATGGTTGTGAAATTGTTTCATATAATACTTAATGAAACTGTTTCATGTATTTCTCTAACATTAATGAAACTGTTTCATGTATTTCTCTAACATTAATGAAACTGTTTCATGTATTTCTCTAACATTAATGAAACTGTTTCATGTATTTCTCTAAAATTAAAATAATGAAGATGATAATATCTATGATTAACACCCTCCACAATAAAAATGATTAATCAACCTCTCATAATTATAAAAAAATGAAAAATTATGATTGGTTGAATACGGTTTACATGGTTTGTACAAATTGAGTGGTTTGCATTTGATCGCTCCCCTATATATATATATATATATATATATATATATTCAAATAGTAAAGTAAAAATGGGGTATGATGCGGTCCAAATTTTTTGTTTTGGGGGAACAAACAAGACAGCTTTTAAAATGCTAGCATGATATAAAGTAGGGGTATATTTGTCTTTTCATTAAATTTTTTGGTTTTATTTATAATTTATAATAGGAAATATTTATAATACTATATTTTTTTAATAACAAAATTTATTTTTTATTTTATAATATGAAATTAATCATGCTTTAAATTTATTTCTTATAAAATTAACATGAAATTTTAAATGCATAATAAAAAAGGTCATGTTTTAAAAACATGTCATCATAATAATTTGTTATATTTTATAATTCTTGTAAAAAACAGTTGTATTTAAAAAAAAACATCGGCATAATTTTAACTGCAATTTAAATTGAACGTGTAACTATTTACAAATTCAATAAATCGTGAAAAAAAAATTTCAAAGCAAAATCATGTACTGTATAAATACTGTATTTTTAGACGTGTTTGAGACACATTAAAACAAGTCTGTAAGTTTGTACGAGTTATAGTATTTGTAACCTTCACAGTATTTTTGCTGTGAAGTTTCAAGTGTAAAAATGTGGTCTCATGGGTCTCACGTGAACTCAACCCTTTTTGTTAAACCATTGACACTTTTTTATTTAATGAATTACCATTAAAGACCATGTATGCTGGTCATCAAACTTTTACGAACATACCTGTTACGGTGTCATGTCTACATCAGTTTTCCGCATACACATCTAACATTGTCATTGTCATTGTCACGGTGAATGTGTATATTATACTCATCACGACTTCATAAATATCCCGATACTGTACAATATCTCAAATTATTAGATACATTAACATACAATCTCACAACACAAACTTAAACAGCGGTGAAAATCTTACAATTTTAACACAATACATAACGATACTCTAATAGCTGTAGTTCGTTTCATACGTATATAACGATATCAATCAAACATGTATTTGAACATATTATCCAATGCATCATAATCAAATAAAAAGTCTGATAAAGTCTAGACGTTGTCCTGCTGTTGTTTACTGTCGAGATTCCAACTACTGATATACAGACAACAAGTCAGGTAAATAGCTCAGTAAGTTTTACTGTTTCGCACACCTTATGATACGTAACTCCATATGAACATTTCATAAATGTCTGTATATCATTTACCCCGAAAAACGCATATACATTACCATAATATGAAAATATGCACGCTTAAATAATAAATTACACTTCAAAATTTTGACATCTGGTGTGACATATGCACGTAACCTTAGGTAGCAACCAATGCCCAACATTTAGTGTGGAAAATATCTGATAGAGTTGATTTGAGCTGTTACATTTTGACTGTAAGCAGCTTATTTAGGTCACATACGTGGTCTGGAATGTCTGTTCTTTCTTGTTTTTTCTTAGATTTCGTATTTAACTTTTTTAGCAGAGTTAAATAAAAAATATTATGTTGATTCGAATTCGATTTTTTTAAGTGATTATTCTCAAAATATTCAAAAAGAATAAATTATTTTTAATAAAAATAACCAACATATTAAAGAAGTTTTTGATGGAGACTAGAAATTTAATCAATATTAAATGTGGTATAAGAACAAATGTTTGACATATATATATATATATATATATATATATATATATATATATATATATATATATATATATATATANTATATATATATATAGACTTGGGATCATGTGAGACCAGCCTGTTTTCGTAAGACCCATGAGACCAGCATTTTACACTTGAAACTTCACAGCAAAATGCTGTGAAGGTAACTTTTTAAAACCTTCACAGTGTTTTTGCTGTGAAGGTTCGACTTTTTTTAAACCTTCACAGCGTTTTTGCTGTGAAGTTTACGTGTAAAAATGTGGTCTCACGGGTCTCACGAAAATAGGCTGGTCTAACGTGAACCCAACCCTATATATATATGGCTGTAAATGAACCGAATATTTAGCGTACTGTTCGATGAGAAGTTCATTTATTTAACAAATATATGAATATGAACAAATTTTTTTGTTCGTACAGTTAAACGAACGGACATGAATAAGATTCTCGTTCTTTCATTTATGTTTGTGAACGTTCATTAATTTACGTTTGTTTATATTCGTTTATATATTAAATTTAATATATAATCTTTTATTTAATTAATTTAAATTCAAATAATATTTATTTATGTTCGTTTAACACGTTCGTCTATGTTCGTTTAACATGTTAACAAACGAACACAAACACACCTGATTTCTAAACGAACGAACACGAACACAAAGATTTTCGTTTGTTTACCGTACGTTTGTTCAAATAAGTTAAAGGAACGAACATGAACAACCCATCCAAACCGTTCATAGAAATGATAGAATGGATGTGATATTAATAATCTTTATTAAAAATTACAAATATCTCTTCCTATTTCTAAAACGAGAAAATCGACGAAACATAACAAAAATCAAAACATTAGAAAAAACGTTCTCTTTTATTATATTTAACTTGACATTCATTTTAATATATTTTCCATTTATTTTTTAATATAATTTTTGGGTATTTTTAAGGTTTTATTTTGATATATATATATAAATGTAATGAATGTTGACATACATTAATTGCATGATGTAAATGTTTATTACAAATTAAAACAACATGCATACATTAATACATATACAAAAACACCTAAATAAAGTACCATAACAAAAGGAAGAGCATATATCATGTAAATATTTTAAAACCCATAAATGTAAATAAAATCAAATAACATGGAAATTAAACATGTTTTTTTTATAAATATATCTAATTATAATATATATATATATATATATATATATATACACATTATATTATAAAACATTTGACAAAAACTTTTAAAAATCATTTTTTTATGTATGGGGTACTGTTTATTGATTCATATTACTTACAATTCAATATTATAAGTAAATTGTGCATAAGTATAACTTATTAAAGCTTCATATTTGAATTCGTGTAACTAAGTGCAGATAACATAATCAAATACATGATAAACATCTCATTTTAAATATAAAAAATCTAAAATATAATTAGAGTTCCAACATAATACTTAATTATTATTTTTATAAATAAATTATATTATTAAACCTAAATTAATTTGTTACTAAACCTAAATTAAATTAAATAAAAATTTTTGAATTAAAGAAATTACACGAAAAACAAGAACTTTTAAATAGTTAATTTGATATTAATATCAACATATATATATTTTTTTCAAAATTTTTATGTTATTTTTTCAAGTTTATATTTTATTTAAAAATAAAAACTTTATCACTTTCTCAAAACCACATAAAAACGTATTATATCAACATAAAAAAAACGAAATATTGAAACCGAGATGTGTCTCGATGCATTGCACGAGTACCCTTCTAGTTTAAATATATATATATATATATATATATATATATATTTCAGATAACAAAAAATAAATTACATTATAATCGTATCAATTTAACTTTTTCCCAAAATATAACAAAAAAATTCACAATATTTCTATATTATATCCTTATTTATAGACTTTATGACTCCATAGTGAATCACCATAATAATAAAAACTACCAAAACGATCAGTTTATACTTATTTTTCGTTTTTGCTATATGAAAATCTTGTTACATTTAACTGGGAGTGAAACCAAAGATCAGTTTGGGACTGGGAATATGGGATCGAAAAGATCCGATTAGCGCTCAGCGGTTATGGCCAGTTATACTTTTTTTGTTCTAGCTAGAACTGGTTAACTGCTTTATTTAATTAACACGACTATAACTAAGTTCATTTAAGTTTACGTAATGATATGCAAATGCAAAAAAACATAGATTTGTTTGCATACTGTGACCTGTCTTTAGGAAGTGATGTTGCCATGAGATTCTGATATTTTCGTGGATGCTGTCGTAAGAGCAAAACAAACGAGTCTTTTTGGCCTTTATAAGATTTAAAATAGTAAGAATCTGATATGTGGGTCGTGCCAGATAGATAATAAAGACGAGTAACGTACACTCGCTGAAATTTCGCAACGACCATGCACAGTCAACAGTGTTTAAGATGGTTTTATGATAAACGTATGCATATTTAGTAAAAGACTCTTTATGTGTTTTTTGAAATGTTGCTTACAGTTATTGAAGTCAATATTGAACACCATGAACTTACCAGACCTACCGACATGTTTTAAGAAAATTCTAACCATAAAAAAATATGACTAACAGTAACAGTAAGATAAATGAGAAGATCTGAGAGTCGAGACATGTAGAACAGTAGATCGTGTTACATTTAAAAATGGTGATTTGTATTTCTATGTTTATCTCAAAATAAATGTCTACTTTCAAAAGTACGTAACTAAATTTCCAAATATATTCTTAATTAATGCACACAATTTTAGAAATGTGTAATTATGACAATTTTTGAACAACTAAAGGACTGTTTGACAATTGCTGAATGATTTGGTGCATAATGATTAAGATATCTGAATGATTAATAGACTCTCATGATATAGTGCAAAATGAAATATAATTGTTTTGTAATTGTTTACAATGAAGTCAGGGCGCTGAATAGTTAAAAGAGACCCAAAATACAAAAATCATTCAGAGAGTTTTAAAACCATTAACAGACATACTTTTTTTGTCAAACAAAATTCACCTCTTAAAAATTTAAGGTTGCCTCTTAACGGAACTACTAAGATGAAAAACGAACAACCCCTAAATGATACTTTTATTCTTGATAATAGAAAATAAACCTTCTCCACCTTATCATTAACGTATAACGAGAAAGTAAAAAATTTACTTTTGAAAATGAATATTTATTTTTTAAATAAAACTAAAATAAAAAACAATAAATATTTATTTATTTATGATGTTTATGAAATTGATGTGTTACAAATATCAATGGGGTATCACATGTCTCTCTATATGGTGAATTTGACCATGTGGGGGTTGATGTTCCTTTAAGATAATTTATGACCACATTTTTGGCAAAATTTCAATCAATTATTGCTTTTTTTTAATACATAAAATCCTATTATTTTATGTTTAATAAACATATCATAAATATGTTATTTAGGACATCGACTTACTTTTATCTGACTCGAACTCGATTAGTATATCATTGTAGATCAAGCAATACAAGGTATTGCGAGATAGCCAAACAGAAGTCGATTAATATATCATTCAAATATCAGCCACTTACTTAATTTGTACTGGCTAATGAGTCATTGATCTCTTTGGTCCTGTAATTTATTATTACTGAGAACAAGTCAACATCATACTTTTTTCTTCGGGAAAATAAGATTTTAGCAGCTATTTTTATTTATTTATTAAAAGATAACTTATACCTTATTTACCTACACAACCTTCAAATCCAATCAAACTCAGTATTTTTACCATTTATCAGTTATCCAATCCAGTCTAAAACATTATTTTATATAGAATTTTCTTTTGAATATTAAATTTGGTGTATTTTGTTTTTGTTTTTATTTTTATTTTCTGATTTCACATTATGTAGTTTCGTATAAGTAAGGGATTCTAGCCAATTAAAAGAAAAATAAAATATAATATAATATAATAAGTTGATTCAGTTTAAAAAATAATGAGAAAATGACACTTGGGAAAACAAGTTGACCAATCTTGACCCACCTTTATTCATTGCATAAGCAGATCGCTGGATATCCTTTCTTTTTCAGTAAATTACACTTTTGGTCCTTGTGGTTACCATTCAATACCAAGTCTAGTCCCTATTTTTATAATTAATAACATTTTCTTCTTCTTATTATTATTATTATAGTTGCCATATTTTTTTTTTGATTTATCTAGATATCCAACCCGCTATGCGAGCCAACTAATCCCAAGACGATCACCTGCTTTGCAGATAATCCGCAGTCACCGCATTTGAACCTCCGTGACCACAAGAGGATTTTTATTCCTACTTGGATTTGAACCTGAGACCTCCTAATATGTAGTTGCCACTTTGTGATTCACCCATACATACATACATACATATATATATATATATATATGTATTAATAATATATTATCAAATAAATATAAATATACATAATATTCTTTTAAGAAATATAGAAAAATAAGTAAGAAAAAAAGACAAAAATACCCCTGACTTAACAGTAAAGATAATGTTGATAATTTATGAAATGTTAGATCCCACCTATAAAGGTTAATACTAAACCTTAAGGACCAAAAATGAAGTCAGACTATAATTTTGGGAGCATTGAATGAGAAGAAAGGGTAGGGTCCCCCATGTTGCTTCTGAGTGACACTAGTCTACTCTACTGTACTGTACTGGGTGGTTAAATAAATAAAGCCATCAGTCCTCCACCACCACCACCTCCAACCACAAACCAGCAGTCAACCTCTCCACCTCCCAACCCTTAAATATTTATATTAATTAATCATTTTGCAATATGATGTTAATATTCTGGAAATATCATTAATGAAATGCAGTTAAACTGCATCATTAAATTATTTACTTCTTCCATTTTAAAATAAATATCAAAATATACCTTAAGGGTAGAATTGAAAAGTAAACACTTATTTTTGGACCAGCTTACACGCACCGACTAATCCTTCAGCGACCACAAATGACCTGGAGTCATTGCAGGTGAACCATCATTACCACAAGAGGTTTGGCAGCACCTAGATTCAAATCCTAGGTAGATGAGATTTTCCATTACGTCCTCCTGGTACAAACTGAAATAGAAATGTGTACACTTGTTTCGGAACAAAGGGACTAATTCATCTTTCTATTCTCTTTTAAAGTGCAGATTTGTCTTCACACAATTGGTCAACATAACGGGGGCGTGAGACTTACGACAAGAGATTTGTATTCGGTAAATGAGAAGAGGAGGTAGGTAGGATGTATACAGATCTTTCCTCCACCCCTAGTCCCGTTTGGTTTACGGGTTTTGGAATTGGATTCTATTCCAATCACGCATTTTGTCTTAAAGGAATGTACGAAATTGAAATCTCGGAATTTCAATGAAATTTGTTTATAATAATATTTAAAAAGATGATAAATATTATTATAAACTAAACAATATTTAAAGGGAAAAAACTAAATATACAGTTTATGTACCATGTGATACCAAAGAATAATTCAAGATTTGGCAAAACAACACATCTTTCAAAAGAAAAGAAAGTGCACATTTTGACACAAAACACATAAATATGAAACAAATAGATGCAAAATGGATTGATGAAGCAAAACTATTTACATGAAAGGAGTCTTGGGTTGTACCTGTGGGTGTGGATTTGCAGGTGTTGGTGTTACAATGGGATGCCGATTGTTGATCGTGTTGTATACTTGGCTCACCTCGTCGTTGTTTTCATCGATGTAAATCACGTCTTGCATTGTTAGTTGGTGGTATTCAACGATTTCTCTCAGAAATCGGCTTTCTCTTGCGTAAACTGAATTCTCCTGTGCCAATCGAGCTTTCTCTGCTAAAAGTGACTCCAGTTGCAGCCGTATCTGCCATGTAATACACGAGGTTTTTTATCTGCTTCTAAAGGGTCTATCGCTGTTTTTGGATCTAAAAGATTCTTGTATTTTGTCATTATTAACGGATACTTTAGATGGTAAAATACTTGTCCACTTGGATATTGCAATTTTCGTGGGATCGGACAACAATGATTTGATGCTTAATATAAAAGTTCAGTCATTATATGCTGAACGTAATAATCTCAATTCCTGATGGGATGGAGATGCATGACCTGTTACTAGTGGGAAATTTTTTAATCATTCATTTGGGTCAGAGATTAAGGGGTCGTTTACCAAATGCTTACTGGATGAGCAAGATAAGGACTAAGAATCTTATCCAATAAGAGACATAGCCAGACCTGAGAATCTTATCCGGTAAGTGATGGTGAAAGACTCTAATCCGGTAACCCGGTTAGCACTTACCAGGTAAGAGAAGCTTACCAACCATCCATTTTGAGTCTTTGACTGCCGGAAATATTACCCGATAAGGTAATCGAGAGTGATTACTCTTGCTAGTAAGCACTTACACGATAAATGTTTGGTAAACGGCCCCTAAGCGTGAAGTTGTATACGCCAAGCACGTGCCATGCATCAATTAACTTGTTACTAAGAAAAAAATTATAAGCTTACATTTTGTTTATATCTTGTTCTTTAAGGGTGTGTTTGGTACACTGAATATGACGGAACATGGATTATTGTTCCATGTTTAGCATGACTTTTATGTGGAATAGTCAGGAACAAAGTGGAACAAAGTGGAACAAAGTGGAATAGACGTGTTCCACCTCCTCCCATGGAACAAGGTAGAACAAGCCTGTAACTTACCAATATACCCTTAAAATAAAAGTTAATTCTCTTCTGAAACATCAAATATGTCTGCATCTTCATATTTTATTCATTCTTTAAATTTTATTTATTGTCTTTAAACTTTCATTTTACTGTCCTCAAAATATTATTTTTGTACGTTTTCTATATTTTGGTTAATTTATGTAATTTATTAAATATTAATAATAAAAAAATAATATAGAAAAGTTATAAAATAAAAATTGAAAGCTATATAAACTTTTTATTTTGGTGTCAATTTAATTGTCCTACGAAAACTTTTTAATGATATATTTTGTTAGAAAAAATATTCATTTTACTATAGTTTAATGAATTACATTAATTAATCAAAATATATCAACAACTCATTAGGGATAAATTGGTCATTTTATTTGTTCTGTCCAGTCCAGTTTTGTCTTAGCAAACGCTGAACAACTGTTATGTTATGTCCTATCTTATTCTATCCGGATACCAAACGCACTCTTAAAAGAACATAAGATAATGCTAAGAAGGCATTGGGTTCCAGCAGATAACGAAATAATACGTACCAAATCATCATCTTCATGGTTGTCTCCGTCTCCACCACTCTCCCTCAGGATTCTGTTTTCCTCTTCCAACTGAGCACAACGCTCCTTAGCGAAAGCAAGATCAGCCTTGACGGTTTTCAGCTCCCGAAGAAGAAGCTTTGCTTTCGCAGCCATTGCCATTGAAACCTGTGACGAAAACGGAAAGGCATATCATGCATCTTACTTGTAACCACCAATTTTGAATTATATAACGGGCAAAATGATTCAAAATTTTCCTTAGTTCCTATTTAATGTAGCAAGGTTTTAAACGTTCCTATTTAATGTAACGAAGTTTCTTTTTTTGACAAATACAATGTAACAAAGTTTCAAAATTTCCTATTTTGTACCCATTTTGACCGTTTTGATCTTGTAACATTTGATGACATGAACGTCAAGTTCATTACCTACTTCGCCGTAACCTTTTCGCAAACCTTTTGTAAAATGGCTATCCACAAGATCAAAATAGGTACAAAACAAGACATTTTGAAATGTTGTTACATTGACTGATAAAATAATTCTTCGTTACACTAAATAGGAACTAAATCGAACTTTGTTGGCATTTTGACAAGTTTTTCCAAGATAGATAAGAGCATCTTCAACAAATTCTCCATAACTTCTCCATAATGGAGAAACAAATACAAAATCTCAAAAAAGAATTGCATTCAACTCCAACAATTTCTCCATTTTGGAAATTACAACATATTATATTTTATTAAAATATTTAATAAAATCTCTCCAATGAACTTTTAATTTCAAGATTTTTTATTGGTGGAATATAATTAAAAAAATCCGTCTCATGATAATATTTTTTGGAAATGCTCCAAATTTGGAGGATTTCACTCTCTCATGCTTTCTCCATTTTGGAGAAAGTTTCGGAGAATCTGTTGGAACAGAAAATTGCCCAAAATCGTCATTTCTCTATTTTGGAGAATCTATTGGAGATGCTCTAAATGATGGATAGCAATTGAAACATCAAGATGTAGGCATGCATAACAACTTCATTACGTAAACAAGTGACGCATATTTGCCACCTTACGTCGCGAGATGCCTTCAATTGAATTTCTACATCAGTTTGCATCTCGGGTTTAGTACTCCCAACGTTTGAAGATGGCCTCTGAGTCTCGGGGATGCCACTCTTTTTCTTTATATGTAGTTTGCGTGTTTCTTGAATTATGCCGGCCGTTCTATTCTCCATGATCGTCATACCCTCCTGTGAGAAGGAACAAGCAGGATGACTGAAATAAATGCCATAAATTGAATCAATTATAATCCTTTTGTGATGTGTTCAAATGCAAGAAAAAAATCCATTCTGAAACTAGGTGGATTCATGGTTGAGCTTTAGGTGTCGTTTGTTTTTGGATCCCCCCCCCCCCTTCTTATTTACCACTTGTGTCTTATTGTTTGTTCTTTTTTCCTGCGATAAGAGCTTAAAACCTCTTAGGGCCTGTTTGTTAGTACCTTAATGAGCTTAATGGAACTCACAGCTTATATGGTGAGCTATACATGATTGTTTGGTAGTGCTTAATGGTATATAAAATGGCTTATTCAGTACGTTTTTAGGAGATAACTTTATTTAGAAAGCCAAGTTTTTTCCAAACCTGTCTCTCCCAGTTAAAAAACACGCTCCTTTAATCTATGAAAAAATCCTTCTAAACAAAAACTTTCTCAATCTAGACAGACAGCTTTATCCATACAACACTTAATGGAAAACCAACCAAACAGCCCCTTACTATCCCCTTGTTGGACAAGAGATAATCCCATGTCTTATTAGCCTCTTAATGCAATCTTATTTCCCTAAAATCTCTTTGTAGCCTCATTAATCACTTTGCGATGTATATAGACATTATTATGAGGTCCAGTTTTTTAATGAACTTTTGATTTTATTATGCTAATTAATTTCTTAAGAATATTTAATACACGATTAAAGTTAAATAAAATCTAAGTTATATATTAATAAATCAATAACGATATTTCCACTATTAAATATTATGTTATTTATCATGTTATAAGTTAAGTTTTATAAAATTTCAAAATATTTATGAATAAACAAATGAAATTGTTTTGGAAATATGTTTAAATAGATGGGTAATTTCTTAAATTTTGTTGTTTGAAAATAAGTGTAATAGTTACATAAGATTCTTGACGATTATCTTATATATTTATGAGTAAAAATATAATTTATATTATGAGTAAAATAGACAATTACAAACATTAAGTCATTTATCAGTTTTAAAAACAATCTTATTAATTTTGTTTTCAGACTTCAGCACCACCTCTTATCAATTAGAAGTAAAATAAGACTTCATACATCAACACCTCTTAAGAAACAAACAACACTTTAGAACGTCTAAAACTCAACATAATTTCTAAGAGCATCTCTAACAGGTATGCTATATTTTCTTTCTATTCTTCTAAATTTGAAGATTTCTCCTTTCTCTCTTCTATTTTTCCCTATTTTAAAGGAGGGTTCAACATAGCTATTGGAGCAAACTTTTACCAAATCTCCAAGATTTCTAAAATAGCATATCAATTGGAGATGCTTTAAGGATGGAAGGCTCAAGTGTTGTGTTGGTAATACGATATTTTGCCTAACCCAATTGTGATTGCATCTTTACCACATTTGCATATCTAGCGAATCTAACTCCAGTAACAGCCAACATCAAGCTTATTATATCTTCAAATGAATACAATAGAAGCATACCTCAAGAGCATTACCAATCGTCCCACCAATGTAATTAAGAGACGATGCAATTGCACCGAACCCCTTATGCAATGGAGGATTGTCCAGCTCTTGATGACCTTCAGGTAATTGATACCGGCTAGAATACTGAAAACGGCAAGAATGAAAAAAATCATCCTATGGGTTTGTGTTCTCTAGAAATGTGCTACAATAAAAAGTCGCTATATCCAATTAACTACATTTAGACATGATGAAGGGATATACTACGAAAGAACATCAAACCAAGGTTCTAAATAGCATAAGGCGTGGGTGGCGGCGAGGTCAAGCCTCAAGCCTTGGGAGCCACGCATTTTTCAAGACATGACTTATGACGAAAAATCTCTACGATCATATTTAATATTTATACATACAGGGGCCAATCAAGGGAGAACTCTGTAATTTCTGATAACCATGAGATCCAATCTCAACCACAAATCAAAGAATAAATTAGAAAATTAATAATGTTGGTAATTTTGACTTGCAATTTTAATTGAAGGGCATTTTTGGTATTTTAGAAATCTTATCTCTCCTCCCTCTCTCCCCTCCACCCTCCAGCGTGAACATTCCACTGTGATACCTATTGTATGAACGTTGTGATACATTAATTAGGATCATTCTTTCTATAAGATACTTCTAATAACCACTGTGATCACCGTGATGGAATTCTGAAGTGGGGATAAGACACTGTGATCACCTGAGTTGGAAGGTGGAATATGGGGAGAAAATAAAGGGAGGATTTATTATTATGTAAATGAGAAAATTGAGGGCATGGATTTTATGACTAAATTACCCTTTTTAGCTTATTGGAAAAATATCCTTAATTATTTCAAAAGAGTGGCTCACATTGGATCTCACGATTATCACAAATTACGAAGATCTCATTTGATTAGGTCCCTATATATACATATGTTTCCTACTATTACTCAATGATATTAAACAATTTAGATTAGATTATATATAAAAAACTAACAAGTAAGACATTAAAAAGGTAACAAAAATCAAGTATTTCAGGCCATGCCGTACCACAAGCCTTAAGCCAGGTTGTGCCACGGCGGCTGTTGCGGCCAAACACAAGTGTTACTAATGCTTGAAAAATAAAGCTATATAAATCGGGCCCGCAGAAACTAGACATATGCCAATTATAATTATAAGGGTACGACAATCTTAACATCAACAACTAGCAACCCTCCTTCCCTATCTAATAATTACTTGGGGTTGGGTTCCGGTGAGAACGAGAGTTATTGTGAGAAGGGTAAGAAGGATCTCCACTCTTGGATCAATCCTAATTGAAGAGAACCACTAGATCAACACTAACGAAATACACTAGATTAATTCCCTTCTAAAACGCAATTCATGGGTTGTTTTGGGATTAAAAGTAATCAAGGGTCCAAATTCCTTCTCACCTTAACCCCTATTCTCACACGATCCTTCATCTAATTACCTGACCCCTTTTCTCAGCATCGGACATTTGTTGCCTCCTCCTTTCTGGTGTTTCGTATTGTTGTGCCACATCACCATTGTCAACGATGGACCTGGCTTTTCTAGCCAAAACACCCCAAAATCCATGCTTGGGTTTTTCCAAATTCTTCAATGATGTATAATCATGTTTTACAGAATCATCCTACAACAACAGACACTTGTTAGTTCATCAAAGGAAACTAGACATTCACTTCAAAAAACATAAGCTTACATTTAATGAATAGGTATGTGGAGCGCTAACAAGAGAATTTTCACATAATTCTCTGCTTTAAACAAATCAAAACCCCCACACACACATGCCATTCCTAACAAGACATGAAAACTAACTCGTGTCAATAACAAGAGTAGATTATTGAAGGTCAATGAACTTTGAGCTAGAGGAACAAGTCTGCAATTACGTAAAAATATTCCATCTTGATTGCGCCACTTAGTGGCCAAAGTCTTCCCTCATTCATTTCCAGATTTAGATAACTCGGGTGGCCACCGTCGCTCTAAAACTAATAACAGAATAATACTTTTGCCATATATTTCTTCAAAAGCTTCTGCTCATCTAGGGCCTTGCATGGTGGTGACAAAGACTGCATATGTAAGATCCCACATTGGTTGGGGAGGGAACTAAGGTTGCCTTATAAGGGATTGGATGCCTCCTCTACCAGACGCGTTTTAGAACCGTGAGTCCAGGTGTATGGAAAAAGCTGACAAATCTGGTACGGCTGGCCCGGGATGTTACAAATGGTATCAGAGCAGGGAACCGGACTAGTGTACCAATGAGGACGCTCAGCTCCCAAGGGCGGTGGATGGTACGATCCCACATCGGTTGGGGAGGGGAACTAAGGTTGCTTTATAAGGGACCGGATACCTCCTCTACCAAACGGGTTTTAAAATAAGTCCATGTGTGGACAAAATGGACAATATCTGGTACGGTTGGCTTGGGATGTTACAACATATAACCAACTTTAGGATAACACAAGTCTTCTATGTCTCAATAGCCAAACTTCATGACAGTTTATAGCATGTAACTCAATGTTCCATGGTTGTACACATCTTTGCAGGCATCAGTGCCTTACTTCTCTGGATATCCACAACCTTTACATGAATAACAGTTGCAACCTGAAAACTCTAACCATTGATTTTTCTCTCTAAAAGTGGAATTTACCCGTATTTAGTTACAGCAAGATAAAGCCTCTGTTGGGTCACTGAAGTTTCTTAGTCAGTGAAGAATTTTTGTCTACGAAGTGTGACATGTAGCTTTCATGACTCATGAGTTCCCTCAGTCATCACTGAAGTTATCAACTTTTGTTTCTAAATTCTAAACACATGCAAGGATGCACATAATCATCTTCAACGCTTCTATTTTTTTTCCAGCTCATTCCAGTTAGCCTCTACATATGCTGTATATGTAATTAGATGACATAAAATTCACTTTTATAAAGGATGCATTGTCTTCTAGACAACCTATCGATTGATTACACAACTCGATAGGCTACTATCCTTGTACATTGATCTCTCTTGTAACAGCCATTCTGTAAGATTCTACATCGGTTGGGGAGGGGAACAAAGGTTGTGCCTTATAAGGGACTATATACCTCCTCTATCAGACGCATTTTGAGACCGTAAGTCCAGGTATTGACGAAGCGGGCAATATCTGGTACGGTTAGCTTGAGATGTTACAAATGTCTTTTTCCATGCCTTTTACATATTTAAATTCAAAGATTTGAATTGCATTTAGGCCTTCTCTCACATGTTTTTCAATTAGAGTATTAAGCAGGTGGGTTAAGTTCCATGGAGCTCTGCTAATCTCCCTTCCTAAAATTTCAGGTAACATCTTCCCTCTAAAAGTTTCAGGATGCACATAGGTCTTGAACTTGAAAAGTACCCATTTGACCTTTTTTGAATTGATAAATCATAACAATCAAAATTGAATTCTATAATTAAACTATAAACATCACAAAATCAAAATCAAAATCAAAATCAAAAGCATATCGAATTTTAAACAGCAAATCTCCATGTATACCAGATATATCAAACCAACAAGCAATACACGAGAAAAAGATAAACACACAAAACCATAGCTCACAGCAATTGAAGAATACCTTGGGAGTATAGGAGTTAGAAGACCGAAGTGGATTGGAATTGGCATCCCTTGGGGAAATAGCAGGTTGACCATAAGCCGAAGAGAGAGAAGAGTCACGGTTGGCGGAGGACGCTCTGATCGCTTTAGCAGCCAGTGACGGTGTCGCCGACACGGGGGTAGAGGAGGATGAGGTGTCTTCTAGGGAAGTCGGAGAACCGTGACGGCTAGAATTACGGTTAGAGATTCCAAATTCTTCCACAGCAAATCCTTGCCGTCTCCTATACGCCATAAATTTGATACAGAATTATTCCACCACCACCGGCGGTTGAGAGATGTAGATGCCGGTGCAGATAGTCGTATTTGGTAAACAAGTCCGGTACAGAAGCAATATCCGGCGTACCCTTTGCCTTCCTCTGCCTCCGGAACTCCCTCTGGATATCGCTCTCGAGTAGTCAACGTTTCATGTTCGTAAGAAGATTTGTGTACTCGTGATATACATGCGGAAGAGGGATGTGCATCAGGAGGTTCGGCCCAAATCAAAAATCCGATTGAATTTCGGATCTGGAAAACAAACCCGAACTTTGAGGTCCGGATTCCGGATGTCAGGTTGCTTTGAATTTTACAAGATCTTCAAGTCTTTTTTCAAAAAAAAATCAAGATTTTTTCTATTAAAACGTATTATCTAAAGTATATTTCAAATACTAAATTTCAAAAATCGTAATCATAAAAACATATATAACATTTTTGTGTAAACAATATTTTTCTAAACTCGGGTCATTACCGGTTACCGGGCCTGAATCGGCTGGGATCAGGATCAGCCGGACCGGTTTTGAAAGGACCGATCTTCAGCCATCTCTAGTCATAGGTAGCACAAACCCTTTTCCCACGATGCAGTTACACTAAATTAAATGCCAAAATCATAGTAAAAGATCGTAAGCGTAGACTTCCGCAACAAATTTGGTTGTGAATTATGCTTAAGCGTAGAATGTTACATAAGGGGTCGGTATCAATCGTTATCTAATATGAAAACCTATATGAAAAACCTGATCTCGATTAATCGATTTGTTTCTTCATAACAAAAATTTGGATTAATATAAAATCAATAACTAATTTGCATACAGAATTATTAAGCCTCTAATTTGATGGCTGCATCAAGACCATCAACTGTGTTATTTTGCTGTGACCAAAGTTGTGCATATCTACCACCATTTGACAGCAGAACTTCATGAGCACCCTGTTCGACAACCCTCCCGTTCTCCAGAACGATAATCTGAAATATCAAAAAACAAAACAATCATGATGATAAGATATTTAGACTTACTGAAAAAGCCGTGTTTGGTAAAAACCATAAACTGGCTTTTTGAAAGGCTAGTTTAGTATCGTTTCAATAAGCTCCAGAAGCTTCTTTTTTCCAATCATGCCCCTTAGATTATACATAAATTATTTAAAACCCAACCCTTTTATATAATTTACATCATCATCTAGTTTGGGAAAACGTGATCGTACTAGCCTAACAACTAGTTTTTCAGCTAACATCTTGTTGAAAAAGCCCTGTTTGGTAAGACCAAAAACTGGTTTTTTGAAAAGCTAAAAAGCTCCATGAGCTCTTTTTTTCACCTTTTTCCAATTATACCCCTTATATTTTACATAAATTACTAAGAACCCAAACCTTTTTTGGGTAATTTCACATTCGTATCTAGTTTATCAGCTAGTTCTTAAGAAAACGTGAGCGTATCAGCCAACAGCTAACTTGCCAAATGTTGCCTATATCATGAAATATTCTATTCAGGGTCGAATTCAGGTGAGTGTAACTGAATAGGAAGAAAGAGTATTGAGGAAACCAGCTTGCCTCATCACACTGCATTGCAGTTGTAAGTCTATGAGCAACAAAGACCGCTGTTCGGTTATTTGCAAGTGACCTCAATGCAGTCAGAATCTCTGCCTCGGTTGTGCTATCGAGTGCGCTTGTTGCTTCATCACACAGCCTGAAAGAACCATATCAATCTTTAGCAAATCTGTTTTTCTCCATTTCTCACTTTTCACGGTTTCATGGAAACAACCACTCAACTCCTTAGGCTAGAGGTCAATCTGCGTACATCTTCCTCCTCCCCCCAAGGTGGGTGATATACTGGGCTCCTTTAGTTTGGTTTTAGAAAGTCACCGTGTAATGTGGTAGCATTGTATCCTAAGGGCCCGTTTGGTTTGCAAGATTTGGAATTGAATTCCATTCTAATCCCGCGCTTAGTTTAAAGGAAAGTCTGGAATTGAAATATTGATATTTCAATGAAATCTAACAAACATTGGATTCAGAAATCCCATGGGGGTAGTTGGTATTTCGTGGGAGTTGTTTGTAACAATGTTTTAAAGTATGTTAAAAATACTTGTTTTGTAATAACCAATTTTAATAAAAAGGTAATTTAATTATTTTATAATTTTTTATAAATTTTTTATAAAGAATGGAACTCAATTCCATTCCAAATCCTACAAATCAAACACACCAAAAATGGCAAATCCTTTCATGAAATCCAAATCCCTCAAAAACGTTCCGACAAACCAAGTGGGCCCTTAGTGATCAATTTATCTGTTCTGCTCAAAATGAACGAAAAAGACAACTTACAAGATAGGAGGAGCTTTCAGGAACGCACGAGCCAATGCAACTCTTTGTTTCTCACCACCACTAAGCTGCAAAATATCAGAACATTTCAAAAGTTACACAAGTCTAATAGTTTACCGATTGATTTCAAGGAAAAACAAAAGGTTCCCGTGACACATTAATTACAGATGTAACATTTGCATCAAATTGATTGGTTCTAACGTGTCTAAATAGTTGTAACTTGTTCTTGACGTGGTTCTATAACCGATTCACAAGTAGAAAGTTTCTCCAATCCTTTGCTAATTAGAGTGATAAGGACCAAATTGATATTAAAATTGAAAAGTAACAAAATCTGGTTTCCTTTCAAGAGGCGGCTGTCTCTCCAAAACTACACAAAAATAAACCAGAGAATTACCATGAAATTGCGAATCATCTTACGCCCACCCCTACTCTCTATTTATAATTTATCATACGGACACTCTCTTATGACAAAAAAGGGAAAATTATTTGAAATACCAATCAATCTTGAATATGATATCAATCACCCTTTTTGTGATCTTTTCCAGAAATCGGTTTTGCAACCCTTATCATCGAGTTAAAACTCCCGAAACAAAAAATACCAAAATAGGAATACGACTTGGTATTATTAGAATTGCCCAAAATATCATAAACATAGATGCACTCCTATGAACATGGAAATATACCGGATTAGTCTATTTTCTTCATGTTAAAAAAGAACAAGATTGTTTAGAGTCGATGGGACAAAATCCAATCTATTTTTTTTATAAAACCGATCAAGATTTTCGATTTTTGGCAAGTCTCGAGATCAACAGATAAGAAGAGTTTCAAATTTTAGCACATGAAAGAAAACTGTAAAAAGGGCGACATCAAACCCAAATTGACATTTACTCCCTCTGTCCCACAATAAATGAAAAAGGCAAACAACTTTAGGAATGTGTAAATGTCACGCTTTTTAATTAAATAAATGACAATTTCACCCTCAATCATAGAGGGTGTAATGAATTTCTCCATCTCATAATTAAGGTTAGAATTGGAAAGTGAGCACTTACTTTTGAAAGTGGACACTTATTTTGTGACAAAGGGAGTACATGGTAAGGGGAGGTTTATGTCGAATAGCTCGAGAATCTAAAGAAATAAAATAACCGAAATTACCTTAAGACCACGTTCCCCTACTAGAGTAGAATATTGTTGTGGGAATTTCATGATAGTGTCGTGAATTGCTGCTTTTCGAGCAGCATCATATACCTGCAAGAAGTCAATCAGTTAGTCAAAGCGAAGCGCCTGCTTTTATTCTATTAACAACATATCACAAAGAAATGCAACATTAACCTCTTCGGGTGTAGATGAAAGCTGCCCGTACTGAATGTTGTGAAATATTGTATCGTTGAATAATACCTGCTCAAAGCAAAGGATGCTTGAATCATGTGAAGTTGAGGTAAAAAGAAGTCCACATGTCTGCAATTTTCGCTTGAACTTACCGTATCTTGTGGGACAACGCCAATATATTTCCTAAGGCTTTCAAGTGTAACCTTCCTTACATCTTGACCATCTACCCTCACCTGTCGTATAGAAAAGCGTTACACTTGTTAGAGGAAACTCGAGCACATCAACCAATATTCCTTAAGTATGATCAAACACTTATACTGTTATAGAGGTCAAAATATGAAATCGCGGCCAAGACCGTGATTTATAGTAGTGGTTATCGCGATGGTATAGTGATCCAAAATTAACAGTTCATATAATAATTAGAATTCTATATACACACACACATATAGGGTCAGGGGAAAACCCAAAAAAAATGGAAAACTGAGGAACACCCTGGTAACCGTTCATCTATACGTGTGCACATGTGCATACAAGTAATTTGTAAGTAATTTTACCATTATATATCAACATATTATGTGTATTCAATAAAAGAATATGCAAGAATAATGATGTCCCATTCCAAATAAAAATTTGAACAATGTGAATACTTTTATTGAAAGCTAGAGGTCAAAGTGATCGTGTCCTAACCCAAAAAAAGAGAATAATGGTGTCCAAGTCCAAAAAAATAAGAATAATGGAACCTTAATCTTGTAGCACTAAAATAAAACGCAATGCCGGTCCAAAATAAAATCCCACAAAATTCCTTTTTTAACACCAAAACAGACTATCTACTAATCTACAAATAGCGGTTATGTGGCCGCTTTTTAACATTCAAAATGCGGTCATTTAGTAGTCAACAGCGCCATTAATCGTGGAACCGCTATTTGTCCCATGACCGCAAAGCCGCGAAAGCACCACTATAGCGGCGCGATCAGCAACATAGTCAAACACCATGAAAAGCTTCATCATAGGTGCTTGTTAGCATCTTCATAGCTATTAATAACTCGCTAGATTCATTTAAATCATAAACATGACTTCCTCCTTCCCAAAATAACTGTCCACATTTCTATTTTAGTTTGTTCCAAAATAAGTATCCACTTTCAAATTTAAGCACCTACTTTCCAGTTTCACCCTTAATTTATGTAGAAATTGAATACTCCTATTATTAAGGGTAAAATTGTCATTTCGTTCATAAGAAGTGTAATAATTTTACATTTCTACAACTGTGTCTTTTTCATCGTAGACATTTATTTTGGAAAGGAGGGGGTAGATCAACGATTCAAGTGGTCTGTTCTACATGTTCTAGAAATGCTGTCAGCAAAATCATAAAAGCATAAACATGTATTATTTGAAAAAGAAACCAATGGAGAATCAGTTACCGTGCCAGAATTGGTGTCAAAGAACCTGAATATCATTCTAAGGATAGTTGATTTACCTGCATATGAATACAATTTACAAATAAGAAGTGCAGCTGGATGCAAAAAAACACGATTGACTAGCTCATCTCTTTTTATGTGAAGTGCAAAGTTAGTAAAAATAATATGCAATCATAGAAAGCCATGATTATCTACAATCCCGTTTATTAAAGATTTTTAAACTACATTTTTGATAAGGTTTATTTGGCTGTACCAGCTTATAGCATTTGTTCCCATTTTTCTAGTTGTATAGTTTCCTTATTTAGCTAACATTCTATAAGGCATACTTGAGAACAATATATGCAAATTCCTTTTTTTAGTTGTCCATGTCTTCCGATGGGTTATCAACAATATAGACTCGGTTATCGACCATTCCTCCATAAAATGAAATTGACTTCTAACACACGTGTTACAACCATTAACCGCTAAATAACCCAATCGAATATCTTCCATATATGGTGCATAAACTTCATAGCCTTTAATCATTATAACTAGATTATGATGTGTCCTTTATTCTTTAAGCACTGCTTTGCCCTTCCTATTATAATAACTTCCCAAGCTTTCTCCACACTTTGGATACAAATACTAGAAGAGTCTCACTTGTTATCTTCTTAAAATTCCCTTCATCTCAGGTGTTGTATTTCCATAAAACCAAACCAAACGAAATAAGTCCTATATGTCGCACCCAGAGCCCCCCAACCCCCCCCCCCCCCCCCCGGGGACGTCTTTCAGTCGCAACTATAAGAAAGCTTACCGCTGCCACTAGTTCCAACAATAGCCACACTTTTCCCAGATGGCACCACAAAAGATATCCCATCAAGAATCTTTCTTTCCGGCAGATAACTGAAATACGGAGAAAATAGAGCAAATATCAGCAAGTAAATCCACAAAGCCATTCTCTATGGTATGTAATGATCATACAGAAATATAAGGAATTTAAGGCATAGACAATTTCAACCTTTGAAATGAAGATGGAAAAAAAGGTTTTATAGTTATCAAGATACTTGGTCATAGTCACCCTTTCATTAAACAACGTTCAAATAAACGAGGCTCTACATAAAGAAATTGTCTTAAGATTTGCATGTTAAACGTGTTTTGATCATCTGTCCAATAAATGCAGCCCTACATACGAGTACCCACAAGCTCACAATTGGTTGTAACCAGTGCCGCTCACAAAAATATACGAACTTGTCTGGTTATGGGTATTATAGTCATTTCAATAGTATGAAAGATATTCAACCTGAAATGAACATCTTCAAATTCAATGCTACCTCCACCTAACTTGAGAGGCTTTGCATCATCTGCATCTCTGACTTCTGCCCTCTCCTGTATAAAGAAGACAATACAACTGCTTTACTGACATATTAACAACAGATGCTAATCATCACCATCTGCCAATTTAGGTTAGTGAGCAATAAATCCGACACAGAAACCCCATTAGAAAGCAAAAAAAAACAAAGATCTTCGATAGAACAAAGAAACAAACAAGACCAATATTAGGGTTTAGGGCTCACATTTGTGGTAACTACATACTGCAACTTAACCATCTTAATATCAATGCTAATCATTGAATTTTTTTCTGTATGTAAGTTTGTTGAGTTGGGTTGTCGGAAATCAGATTTTGACAGATGATAGAAGCTAATAAGCATACAATACAGAGAAACTCTTTTTCGGTTTCTAAGGGTGTGTTTGGTACACTGGACAGGAGGATATAATAGAACAGAGATCACTGTTCCATGTTTGTCAATACTTTTATGTGGAACAGAACAGACAGGAACAAAGTGGAACAGCCATGTTCCACCCCCACCCCATGAAACAAGGTGGAACAGACTTAGGTTTTATCAATATAACCTCAAAATAAAGCTTAATCTCCTCTAAAACATCAAATACGCCTCTTTACTTTTTATTCATTTTTTAAATTTTATTTATTGTATTTTATGCTCTTTAAACTTTCACTTTACTATCCTCAAAATGTTATTTTTAGAAAGGTTTATATATTTTGATTAATTTAAGTAATTTATTAAATATTAATAATAATAATAAAATAATAGAGAAAAGGTATAAAATAAAAATTGGAAACTATATGAACTTTTTATTTTGGTGTCATTTTAATCATCTTGACGAAAACTTTCTAATGATATATATTTTTATATAATATATTTATTTTATCATAATTTAATAAATTATATAAATTAATCAAAATATATAAAATATATGAACAACTCATTAGGGGTGAATTGGTCATTTTATTTGTTTTGTCCTGTCCAATTTTGAGTTGTTTTTGTCCTGTTCTATCCTGTCTGGAAACCAAATGCACCTTATAAGCAATATTCTTCTGGTTTGAGATCCACTCATACAAAGTGCGTAATTTCTTCCATATAAGCATATAGGTATGTAAAAAGAAGGTGCGTCATAACAAGGGGACCCCCATATGTTATTAAATCAGACTCCCCTATTCACCATGCCCATAAAGCATAAAAAAAATTGGTGGTCTAAACTAGAGTCCACTTTCTCATACTTCATCTATCCTATAGGTGTAAATGGTTCGAGCTTTTAATGAGCTACTCAAGCTTAATCATTCTCGAGCTTGAATCGATTTCGAACACAAAATAGAACCCGTTTACCTTAACGAGCCAAGCTTCATAATACAAGCGTTCAACTTGACTCATTCAAAAACTCGATTACATTTTTTGAGTCGAGCCAAGCCGGGGCCATTCGAGCATATAGGTGTAAATGGTTCGAGCTTTTAATGAGTTACTCGAGCTCAAGCTTAAACATTCTCGAGCTTGAATCGATTTCGAACATAAAATAGAACCCGTTTACCTTAACAAGCAGAGCTTCATAATACAAGTGTTCAACTTGACTCATTCAAAAACTCGATTACATTTTCTGAGTCGAGCCGAGCCAGGGCCATTCGAGCATATACTTTTTCAAGCCAAACAAACTCATATTTTCATAAATCATATAATAAAAAAATAAAAATCATCAACCTCGAGCCAATAAACAAGTTAATCACAAGCGAGTTCGAGCCCATAGACGAGCATCGAGCTTTATAATTCAAAAAATATTCGAGCTCGATCCCTACTTTGAAAGAGTTATTCGAGCTCGAGCATGGTATTATTTTTTTGAGTTGATTTCGAATAGCCTACTACTCGACTCGACTCAGCTCGTTTATACCCCCAATATTTCCTCCTCTTCTTTCTATTCTAAGAAAATGAACCAGGAGCTCTAGTTTTTGAACAATATTTGGATCAAGTCTTTATTTATACATTATTGCTTACTCCTAACCAGCTTTTCTAAACTTTATCATATCTAACTTTCTCTATTTGTCACACTTTTCAAAAGCCCAGGTGGGTCTTCACAGAATCCACCGCTCTACTCTTTGGGGTCAAGGTCTCGGCTGCGTACAACTTACCTTTTCGAGACCCCACCTCCAGGTGGGATATAAACACATATACCGAGTTAGTTTAGTTTGGTTTAAGTCTTCATTTTGAAAATATAGCAATCATACAATTGGATCTATCATCTCTACTTTAACACAAAACGACCTTAAAAGGATCTACAGATTATGAACATGCAAGACAGAGAAACTGAACTACCTCAAGCAGCTGAAACATGGATTTCATGTCAACAAGACTCTGCACGGTTTCACGATAAACACTGCCAAGGAAATTGAGAGGAAGAGACAGTTGGAACAGGAGTCCGTTCACCATAACCTATGAAATCTTCCACATGTTATATGGCAATTCATAAATCATATTTCTGAGGAATATAGGCTGCAATAAGACGGTAAAGAAGGTATACCAGATCACCAACAGTCGCTAGACCATTCATTATGCCATTTGAAGACAGTATCATGGCGGCTGAAAGAGCAGTACTGAACACTAAAGTTTGCCCAAAGTTTAAAACAGCAAGACTCCGTTGTGTCTTCAAGGCAGCATCTTCATACCCTGAGGTAAATGTTATCAAACTTAGGACTTGTTTGTTAGCTGCTTAATGAGCTTAATGGGAATCACAGCTTTTTCGGTCAGCTATACATGACTGTTTGAACGACTTTGCGACCTCTAATACACCTTAAAGGTGCACCCCTGCTCGGCAAAAATCCTGGGTCTGCCGCTGGAAGGACGCACCATACACGATGTAACCATAATTCCTCTTAATAAGCCAACATACATTCAAAGAAATCATATATCATAAACTTGCGTAAATATACAGACTACTTACTCTTCAAATATTTATCGTACTCCTCAGCTTCATAATGCTCGTTGTTAAAATACTTCACGGTCTGACCGAAAAAATTATAAGCTCAGTCAGAAAGGAAAACAACAGACGTCAAATGTGATCTTATATATTATAATTGCACAAGAAAGCAACATACACTTCAATTGCTCACCTCATAATTTATAAGTGAATCAATTGCCCTCGTGCTTGCATCATTATCAGCTTTGTTCATTACCTTCCTGAATTTAGTCCTCCACTAGAAAATTATAATCAGAGTACACATAAGTAAAAGAAAAATAACATATCTTTTAGCTGAAAATAGACAACTAGGATTCCATTTCTACTTATCATTTGTATAGTTTCCTAATATGGTTTCCTAAGTTGTGCATATATTTGTATATCTTTTTAAATAGAAGTCATCAGAGAATAAAAAATTTATCTTCAATAGGAGTGCACCCGCTCAACCGATTTTTTCAATTTAACTTTGTTGGAGTATGAAAGGTGCAGACACTAAACTTTGAAGGGTGCTATGGGATATTAGAAAATACAAGGAGCGTCAACCAAAAAATCGAAAAAGTCCCTCTAGATCAACCAAAAAACTTAAAAGAATCCCTTGAAAGGGTAGAATTCGGCTAAAAACACAGCAGGCGACCTTGCAGGCCTTTGATCCACCTTAAGGATGCAGCCACTGGGTAAAAATCCCGGGCCCACTGCCGAGATAGCTATGTACTAGTTAAAGGTCAAATTAAGATCACTCCTTGACAACCAAATGGTCCATAAGGCTATCAAAAAATAAGCAAATTGTCTGTTTTTTCAATTCTATTTTTTGTCTTTTGGTTCAGCTAAAATGAACAAAATGGGCACCCATATCAACTGAGAGATGGAAATTTCTAAGGCAAAACGAAATATCTCCAAGACTAACCCAAAAAGAAGAAACAAAAGATTAATCTTACAAGAGATGACGTACTTGTGTTATAGTCAACGTGAAGGCAATATACACAGCAACAGATAAAGAAGTAATCCATGCAAATGTTGCTCCAAATTTGTATGCGAGAATACCTGCTACCATTGCAATCTAAAAACACCCATGTTAGAGCTGATGCATTAATTAAGGCAGGCAAGGATGAAACTGCAATAAAGTTCTATTTTTTTTCTTGAAAGGGTCTCCCAGGCTATTGCAAACTAATCCTGGCAAATTGCGATTGTAAGACATCAGCCCTGATAAACTCGGTGGCTACAATTGTTGTGGACACCTGGAATCGAGCCCACAGCAGATATATTCCACCACATATCCCTGAGCCTCGACCACTATGCCACAACCCTTGTGGTTGCAATAAAGTTATCTATTGGATGCTAAAAGATCCAGTACGGATGTAAAACTGTCATTCAACGGAAACAAAAATTGGTAACTGTTGGTTTTCGGGCCAACTTGTGTGCACCTCAACTAATCCCATGGGGCCCTGAAGATAACCGCCATGAAAATCCCCAGTCGCCTTGAGGAGATTCGAACTGGCGACCGATGGGGAGGATCCCCAAGGCCTAGCCTTTATTTGCTGGTCCAGCTATGGGATCACAAACTATATTACAGAGATAAGATCTTACCTCTAGTATTGTCGGTACAACATTGAATACCATGGCTGAAAGGATGAAATTAATAGCTCGGCTACCACGATCAATAATTCGATTTAAAGCTCCTGTTTCTCGACTGCCAACAGAACCGCCAATAGGAAACAAAAAGAATGTATGAAAAAAACCTTGAAGTAGCATTCTCAATAATAGAATTTTTATGTTAGACCTAAGCATTACAACCTCATCTGTCTCCAGAACAAATTATGTAACTTAATTTAACGTCCTTTTTCCAACTATTTGGGGTTAAATATCAAATCTTTTTTCCTTATTCATGTCAGTTGGATGCTAGAATTTTAGTTTTTGCCTAACCTTGTATTGACAAAGAGAAGTAAATTATGGTGTATTGACAAAGAGAAGTAAATTATGGTATATTGACAAACATATGTAAATTATGGCATATTTGGGCAAAAAAATTATAGTTATATTGACTAAGACAAGTAAACTATTGTATATGAACTTATACTTACCAAATCAGTACAAAACACTAAGAAATCAGTTCCAATTTCAACGATTTAAGGTTATGGTTTTTGCATTTCATCATTTTAACCATTAAAACTCAAATCTGAGCTCAGATATGCTGATGTAGCCTCTCAGTTTTCCGAGGATGTCCAATGGTAGCACAAAATTAATCACAATTATTGGTGTCAAGCCATGCGAACACAACGTTTATGCTTTTAATTTCCATAGGAGTCCTCTAAAAGTCGTTGATATTAAATAGCAGTGATTTGAAACGGTTGTGATGGAAAATGGTTCTGGTGCACACTTCCAATATACATCTAGGTACCAATTCTACACTCTCTTTTTGTGCTTTCCAAATGAAATCTCATGCTAAAGTAAAAATGCAGAAGTAAAAACCTTAAATTTTATACTAAGAATAATCAGAGTCAAATTAATAGCAACTTGATCAGGATCTTTTTGAACATACCTCAGATGATATCTTAGATCAAGCTCATGCAAATGTGAAAAAACCTGCAATAATCCGAGTAAATTATATAACTCATGCCTTCAGAATGAAATTTTACATCTTGGAAGTGGAAGTATACATGTAGCACACGACAAAGTGTTCATTCTAAAAGATTCTGATCTCAGTTGATTAGTTTTGGTATTACCTTCCTCGAAACTGATCTAATAGTCCGCAATGCCACCTTTGAGAACACTGCAGTTCTCAGCTCTGGAACAATAGATATGAACAAGCATGTGAAACGAGGAGGGGAATATATATATATATATATATATATATATATATAGAGAGAGAGAGAGAGAGAGGGAGAGACTGAGGTTCAGGGAAAACCACAAATAAAATGGAAAACAAAGGAACACCCTAATAATCATTCATCTGTACATTATGCACATGTGCATAAAAGTCATTAAAAAAGTTTCCTGGTTTCTATACACCTGTGCATCTTATGCACATGTGCATACCGGACAAATTACTTTTATGCACATTGCATGCCATACAGACGAATGGTTACTAGAGTATTTCTCAGTTTTTCATTTTTTGTGGTTCTTGAACTCAATCCTATATATGTGTGTGTGTGTATACTTTGTCCACCACCACCAATAGAAAGAAAAAAACTAAGGGCCTCTTTTGCTTTATTACTAGCTAAAAGATTTAGATGGATAAATATTAAGACAAGAACCAGCAATTACTTCATAATGAAGTACCGTTGAAAGCAGAAGCCCCTGTTCGTGCTATACCATAACCAACCAACACAGCTGCTGGACTAACAAAAAGAGCTAAAGCTGTAGGATTAGAAGCCGCAAACTGGGCAACTGAACTCGGATTCCCTGTCGCTGTCGTTAACCAGTCAACAGCTAGTTTGAACAAAAAGGGAACCTGAACATTCATCACCTGATCGAGAAAAATTCCATGAGCAATATGTAACCAACGTTCATCCTGATGGACCCTAAACACAACATGCTTAAGGATGCATTTGGTATGCGGATGGGACTGGATGTGCGAGAGTGAGGTTAAGAGGTACGTGGTGAAAAATTTGTGAAAGGTTTTAGGGTTTAAATTTAGCATGGGTAGTTTATTAATTTAACAATCTTGTCTTGTCACCTAATTTTTGTTCCACCTACTTTTTTTGGAAGGGTGTCCCAACCTATGCCCAGACTAATCCCGACAAATTGCGACTGTAAGACATCAGCCCTAATAAACTCAGTGGCCACAATTGTTGTGGACGCCTGGAATTGAACCCGCGTCAAGTGGGATATTCCACCACATCCCCCTAGGCCTCAACCACTACACCACAACCCTTATGGTTTTTCCACCTACTTTGGTGGCACAAAAAAAAGCATTTTTATCCCGCTCAATCCCGTCCCTTCCCAATCTAACATTGCGCCAAACGTGGGACAACAATTTTTGCTATGTTATGTCTTGTATTGTCCTGCATACCAAACGCACCCTAAAGAATATAACACGGCATGGTGGCACGCTACTAACCTTGGCACCAACCAAGAAACCCAAGGCCATGAGCACTCGCAATCTGAACTCTATGTTATCTTTCATCCACAAGTATTTTGCAAGTGTACTAAGAATCTTCATGTTACTAATTTCATCCCCTTTAGCAACAAGATCTTTTTCATCATCTTCTTTATTTTTCTTTGCCCCCTGTGCCCCACTTGATGTTGTTAATGTAGCAATCCCATTTGGCATAGAACCCTGTCGATTACAATTATATAAACATCCATCACAAATCTTGATATTAAAATATGCTTACATAGAGACACTTGCTCAAGATATTTAGTAAGCAACTTAATTGACAAAATGAAAGCATTGCAACTAATTTCATGAGGACACCCCTGAAACAGCCAAATTGTAGGCCAGAAAGTATCCTTTGAGTGATTATAAATCTTGAAGTTATATGACTTCAAAATAAACCATGTTCTCAGAAACAAAAGAACTAGGATTCTCACAGGGTTTTCAAGTTATATATATGTATGTATGCCACAAATCAAATAAAAACTCGCTAAAAGTTAGAAACCGTGAAAACCAATTTATGTATTGTTTCGAAGGTGAAATAACACATGTGAAAACCAACCAAAACCATCCAATGAATTTGATTCTTAATCTATGATTCATATTGCTTCACATGTTCTTTTCTTGTGTGTGAGTATGAATGTGTGTTTCATGTATAAACATATATTTGTGTTATTTTCACACGCAAAACATTCTTTGACATTTAATCTATGAAACAACATTGTATGTGTATGAACACCGCATGTTTACACGTGTTGTTTAATCCATGAACCCAACCCTGTATACACAAATTAACAGCAGTGAACATGGTTTACCCACAAACAATTCATCAACCAACATCTAAAAGAAGCTTATGACTCCCTCTACCCAATAAATTCTTACATTCAAATCAATATCAAACATTAAAAACACAAACTTACAGGTTTTTTCTGGGGAGTAGGTGAGAAATCCGAAACAAACGCAGTTAAATTCCTCAAGAAATGCGTAGAGTTCTTCAAAACACCCCATGAATTAGCCCGGCGTACAACAACCTGACTGATTAAAACACGATTACTGAAACCGTGTGAACCAGTGACGAAAGTCTGTGGGATTAACGAACGAGAAACGCCACTGCTACTGCTACAGCTACAGCTGTGGCTGTAACCCATCATCATCTTGGTGCCTGTAGTCCGAAGGATGAGTTCACGAGCCCTAACGCACCTTGTGGCCATTGTTGATTGCATATTTGTTCAATTTAAAGGTGTTGGCAATGGATGAAAAGTCGTTGACTACGATGTGAACACGTTATGGCATTAAAAAATTGGGCAGAAACCTAAATGAGTGTAAGAAAAAGGTAATCAGGAAATGGAATTGGTGGCGGCGAGATCATCGGCGAGGGGTTCAAGGGTTTGCTTGTACAAGGGTCTTTGGTGAGTCCTTTTCGAGTCTGTAATTTGTGTATGAGTTGAAGAAATCGACAAATTGAAAATGGAAGTTACAAAAAAAGTAAGGCGTAAATGATAAATTTAAGAGTTGTCCGTATTTGGATATATTTGGGAAAATTGTATCAAAATGAAATCACTTTTCAGCTCATTTTTATTTTGGAAAATCAGCTTTCAAAATCGTCATTTTAGATAATCAACTTGCACCTGATTTCTGTTTTAGGGAACCGACTTGCAAAATAATTATAGAAAAATAACTAAAATTCGTTTTTTTTTCAAAAATTAATGCAATAAAATCTATTTTTCATTTCAAATCTCGTTTTTTTATTCAGATATCAAATTGAATATTTTTTTAAAAAATCCAAATTACCACAATAAAAATTGTTTTTTACTAATGCAAGAGAAATCAATTTAACAGAAAAAAATTAATTGATGCAATAAAAAATAAATATTAAATCTCACATTCAAGATTTTTATATCTAACCAATTGTATCAATTAATTTTTTTCTATTAAATTGATTTTTTTGCATTAGTAAAAAATAATTTTTAATGTGGTAATTTGGAATGTTTTTTTAAATGTTCAATTTCATATATGAATTAAAAAAAAAAACGAGATTTGAAATGAAAAATAGATTTTATTGCATTAAGTTTTGGAAAAAAAACGAATTTTAGTTATTTTTTTATAATTATTTTGCAAGTTGGTTCCCCAAAATAGGAATCAGGTGCAASTTGGTTCCCCAAAATAGGAATCGGGTGCAAGTTGTTTCCTCAAAATAGAAATCAGGTGCAACTTGATTCCCCAAAATAAGAATCGAGTGCAAGTTGGTTCCCCAAAATAGGAATCAGATGCAAGTTGGTCACCAAAACGACGATTTTGAAAGTTGGCTCTCCAAAATAGAAATTAGGTGAAAGTTGGTTTCATTTTGATGCAACTTTCCCTATTTGGATATATTTTTCTTCTTTCTCCGTTTTGGTGAAGTTTTGGACAATCCGTTAAAGAAAAAAAGTCAAAATCTCTATTTTCTCCATTTTTGGAGATGCCGAAGGAGATGCTTTCATGGTCCGATCATAATACGATAAAAATTACGTTTCTCAACGGTGCTACCTTAATGTTTGGTTGCGTACCCTTGCTTCTTTTAAAATTAAGGGTCGTTTACTAAATGCTTACCCGGTAAAGACTTATGGGGACACTTACCTTACCGATGAATCGATAAGAATGATGACAAGGACCAAGAGTCTTACTCAATAAGTAAAGATGACGACTTTTGCCCTGTTAGCGGTTACCAAGTAAATTGTTGTATACGATGCCGTTACCAGGTAAGTGTATAGGTAAATGGCCCCTATGTTACAGATTGAAGTTTCATTTATCCGAGTTGATCATCATCGTTATCGTTGAAATAAGGTCTCTTATTTGTAAGTTCGGTTTCGAGTCTTTTCAGCCGCATAAATTTTCTGAAAATTTTGGTTGAAACCAATTAATCTATCATATTTATATGAAAGACAAATGTTAATTTCTTTTATACTGGTGTCACTTTTGAACATTTTTCTGAGTCCGTATCTAACCAAAATATCGGCATCCAAAACCAAAGTGCAAAAATATTCGCCATGTCGATGATCAAACCTAAAAACAAAGTTTTCGATGAAATTATATTAAAAATCAAGAAACTCAACATGAGTTTAAACAAACTCGCAATCTCCATTCTGATCGTTCTATAACGGTATGGTTTAGGATCGAAGATATTCTCTAAGGACTAACTTTCGACATTAGAGAAACCAGAGTACCCTTACTGAGGTTAACTGTGACTCCTTGAACCGAGCCCATTTTGGTCGTTAATGGTTCATAAGGTTGGCTCGATTGTCTCATACTTAGCGATTCAAGGCAAAAAAGACTCCCACCAACCAGATTCGTATTTGGGATAGGGTGCCGTCCATTTATTCGGGTTCTCGAACTCTAGTTTAGCAGGATTAGATGCCAATGCTTCTTCAAGACTCTCGGCTTCAAAGCTTTCTGGTAAAACTCGATCCAATCTCAATTTCATGAACCTGTTTATCAATTAGAAATATACGTTCAAATGGAAACAACAAAAAAAGTTGAAAATATGGAAACAAATTTCAACCGTTAGATGGATTTGTTTTATAATGAAAATGGATGACACCTCAAACTCTTTTTTTTTGGGCAAAGGACTTACTTGATCCAAGTACCATTGGTGGAAACAAGAGCAACAGCGGGTCTCTTAAGTCTCTTGGTGATATCAGGGAATTGATCTAAGAACTTGGGTTCGATTACGAGCCAAAAATCCTGCTCCATATTACGCTCCTTAAAAAGGCGAACCCTCTCGAACAACTGCTCTTGAAAGTGTTCTTCTTCATCGAGCATAAATTTCGCATTCGCAACCAAAAAATGGTATCGTTTGTTCTCCCGTTGTTCCTGCATTTTACATCACAACCAAATTTGAGATCATCTTCTTAGCAACAAGGACACGATAGAGACATGGTATCCCACGTTTGCCACGACATTAGACCGGTACAGGACAAGGCTGAGTGGGACAAAAAATTGCATATCTTTCTTGTCCCATCAAAATAGGCGGAACAAAGATAAGAAGATAGTACAAATTTGGTCAATTACTATAGTACCCCGTAATGAATTAAAACCTTTCATAATTCTTTCAACCGCCTACCTCACTCCAGCAATTCCATCTGTCTACCAAAACAGGGGGAGTTTATCCAGGTTATCATCATAAATAACCACATCGGGAAATGTTTTACTTTTTATCCACCTCTGAACTTTTTCTCACAAAATAACCAAGAAACCGCAAGTCAAACACCACAAGACACTTTTCCTTGTGGTTCTTGACATTTCCGACCCACCTAGATGAAAAGTGAGCCCACTTCTAAAATAAATTGAGTACCACAAGGAAATTGCATCGACCTACAAAAAGCAAGCCAAAGCCACAACTTATGTATGGCACCACAAGAAAAAGGGCTTTGCGACGTTAATTTTCAGTTTCTTGGCTATTTTGTGAGAAAAATAAAATGGTGGATATTATATAAAACTTTTTCCATGAGGTGTCCATTTAAAATGATAACCGAGATCCACGTTGTATGTGCTGACTTGTGTGTATTTTGAGTTTTAGATTCAAATCAAAGCATTGATTTTGTACCATCTAGATGTTTGCCATAATCGAAAAAGTTGAGCACAATCAGCAATTTGGCTACGTCCATGTTGTTGCCAGAATTCTTAATTACATAATCTGTTGATTAATTTTTCTAATAACGAATCCAAACCAGATCCATAATAATCCGATCCTTCATCGCAAATTTAATTGGACTAAGAGAATACTATAAGCTCATACATGGAACAAAGAAAGAAATTGTAGAAAAGAGGAACTAGTGCTGAATCAATCAAGCATACCAACACGTTCATGGCGATATTTATTTCATATATCATCTGTTCATGGATCGCAAGTGTTTATACATTCGAGGAGCAATTATCCACACCTAAAACCGTTAAAATGCAGTTTAAAAAGCCAAATCCGAGCTAGAAAGTAGAAACTCACCTGTTCAACAGGATCGGAAAATTTGACGTCAGCGACGGTTGCCTTGACGAAGGTGGTTGTTCTCCGGCTGATATTGGCGGTGGTTAGTTTGGGCAAATGCTGAGGCAGTGAAAGAAAGGGGATGGATTGTGTAGATTGACAGAGATCGGTGGCGGAACTGGCGGTTGTCACATTCACCACGGCGGATGCACCCAACGATTTCATCAAATTCATGATTGCTTCTTTGGATTTGAAACGATCATGGAGGGGAGATGATGGTTTTTGACGGTGAAAGAAATGCAATCACAAAATCTTATCTATTTCTATTTTTAAGATATCTTTTTGGATTTTCAGTTTTCCATTTTCTCTGATTATTATTTCTGAAAATCCCAAAAATTAAGGGGTGTTTTAGATTGCTTATAAAAACAACTTATTGACTTATTTCGGTGTTTTGGTAATAAGCACTTTTGAGTATTTAGATAAAAAACTTATACTGGTGTCAAACACTCAACTTATTACTTATAAAAACAACTTATTGACTTATTCAAGTGTAAAAAAATGTTCTCACGAATCTCATGAAAACAGGTTAAACAAAAAATAAAATTGAAGTTAATATTCACCGGTCGAACAAATATCACATGCTCGAAAACGAAATTGACCCGAAACCGCTTATTTCGAAACAAATGGTCAAACCTGACAAGTTAACAATAGTCAACAACATCGTTAACGGACCGCCATAAGAACACATTCAAAATCGTATTATACACCAATAAAAAGGTCAAAAAGGAGCGTAAACAATAAACATTACAGAAATAAGACCGACAATAGAAATTAAACTAAACGAGCTCAATATACGCCATAGGTGCATTATCCCCTCTCCTAGGTAAAGTTCTTATAATTCTAGTATACCCTCCATTCCTTTCACCGTACCTTTCAGGGACCTCCGCAAACAACGCATGGACGATTTGCTTTTCGTAGATGAACCCGAGGGCTTGTCGCCTTTTATGAAGCGAACCTTCTTTAGCCAGGGTGATCATTTTGTCTACATACTTTCTCACGGCACTAGCCCTTGCTCGGGTGGTTTTGATCCGACCGTGCTTCAAGAGTTGAGTCGTTAGGCCACGGAGGAGTGCTTTGCGCTGGTCAGGAGGGCGGTTAAGCTTCGGCACTCGCCTTCCGTGTCTCATGGCAGAGACACGGCCACCGTTGTCAATAGTGGTGAAATTATGCTCATTACCATTATTTCCTGATAGAAACCGATACAATTATAGTTAATTATAGAGCCATAATAGTAAAACCAAACCACACCAGTATATGTACGCAAACCTAACCTCTACCCTAAAGAGTGAAACAGTTGTTTCCGTCACGACCCTCGGCTAGTATAAAGAGTGTGAAAGGGAGGAAAAGAGACAAGTTAAGAAATGGAAAGCTGGATAAGAATAAACAACAACAACAACAAGAAACTCGAAAGGGTTATTGGCCAAACAGTATCTGGGCTACCAGTAGATCCCAACCTCTCTAGAGGTCAAGGGTTCAAGTGACGAGTGTGTGTGAGTTTTGTCGTAATATATACTTAAAAAATAATGATAGATAAATAAATACTATTACCATAATGATCATTAAAAGATAGAATTATTTGGTGATGAAGATACTCGAAAGTCAAATTATAACGAAGATAATCCATTGAAGCTACCAAACAGCGGAATTCAAATGGAATCAGAAACTTTACTATAATTAGAAAACAAAAGCTATTGGACAGTGAAGTAAAATAAAGTAGTGTTCACTTGGATAGAGGAAGGACAACAGTCCATCACGTTGTGAATACGGGCATGAATGTCAAACCAAACGAGACGAACCAATTAGTTTCCAACAAGTCCTTTTTTGGAAAATCTCGACGTTAAATTACCTATTTGCCCATCATTGTCAAACCAAAGGAAATGAACACATTATCCGTCCATTTATTGTCCTTATGAATATGAAAATCTTAAAGGCTCTATATATGTACATTCATGAAAAGGGAATACTCGTTAGATGATTCTTCGTGAAGAAAACATTGTCCGGATTTCATTTCTGTATACTTTTGACGCAATTTACATAAACTTCATATCACCCATTTGAATCATCCCTTGTAAGTTTAACCAGTATTCTGTGCATTAAAAAACAACACTGAAATATACTCCCTTTGGTGCAAGAAAGGAGTCCAGTGTTGATTTCTAAAGAGCCATATGTTCAGAAAAACTAAGAGGCTATTTACTTGCAGCTTAATGAGCTTAATGGTCTGGGCAGCTTATTCACCATAAAGAAGGGTTTCTTTATGGCTTAATCATCAAGCCATTAAACAAAAATGGCTACATGGAATAAGCCAGAACCCCCTACTTGTCCCCATTACGCCACCTCAAACAAATAAATACCAGAAATAATTCATCCTCTCTCTTTGCCTCTCTCAAACCCATTGGTAAACAGACAAATTATCAGGACAGACAACTTAACCCATACAGGCTTAATGAAAGAAAAGGTAAGCATCCCCTAACTAGTATCATGTGTGTACTAAAACCAATGGGAAACAAATACTCTCCTAATCACCAAAAAGAGGTCCCATTTTTTATTTCTGAGATTCGAAACCTATTTGGTTCACGAAATCAAACCAACATAAATTTGTTGTTTCTTATCTCCTGATCGTGGTTTTTGTGTCATTCAGACACCCAAATGTCAAATATAGACTCTTTTTAGGGTAAGGTTTATCAACAAAATGGTTACCTAAATCTTGCTTACAATGTTCAACAACCATATTACTGCTTACACACTATCCTCATTAAGACCGTCATTCAAGAAACCCTAGAATTCCACACAGATAAATTTGGAAACACATCAATCTCTTCCTATTATAATATCCTCCTACAAACAAATCCAATTGTAAGCAACCACAGAGTTTTAACCCAAATATATATCGGAAATCAATCAAACCCCCCAACGATGCATAAACTTCATCAGCAATTACCAAATTCAAAGCAGAAAACTCATCAAGCCGACACCAAGTTTTACATTAATACACAGAGAAACAAACAAATAGACATACAGATAGATAGATTATACGTTTTACCTGAAGTGAGATTCAGAAGAGGGTTAAGAGGGGAGAGACCAAGAAAAGATCCAAAAACAGGCTTCGAATTAGGTCTAAACCGAGTGGCATTTGGGGGTCGGAATGAACAGCGAATTGAAGAATTCGATCTGGAAATCGAAGGAAGTGACGATTTTAGAGACGACATGCTCCATGTAGTTGTGACACTCGCCATTTTCTAGCTTCGATTATGGCCCGTGGAGGAAGGAAGGGGCTTCACTCTGCAAGTGTTGCTATGAATTTGTTGGTGATGGTGAAGATGGTGTTTTGTATTGGATAACTGGATATCTGCCCTCAATTTATTTTTAGTTTTTACCCCTCAAATTTTAGATATATCCCATTTCTACCCTAGTTTAAGAAAAATATTTTCATTTGGGACTTTCCCTTTTGGGTTGCAGATGTTCAAAATTCAGAAGTAACGGTATTAGAGAAGCACGAGTATCGGGTTTGAGGTTGGTCCTACATGGCTCAACTTCGATTGCTTAAAAGAAAGTTCGACTTTTCATCGGTTTTGGATTTGAAAACTAGAATTCTAATTTAGTGTTATGACGTACGAGCCAAGGGGCAATCTCAAGTAGACAGTTTTCTATGGGGCGGGGCCTCCCAAAAGGTAAAGGAGGCGTACAAAGGTTTCTTCGCCCCGGATGGAGATTGGCCCTCGAGTGCAACCGCAGAAGGAAGCTTGACTGCAAGACCCACCCGTCGAGCAAAGACAAAAGTCGGCCTTAATGATCCGACGGTGCCGAGTGGCAGGGCTGTCCCTCAACGGATAAAAGTTATCTAGGGATAACAGACTGATCTTCCTCAAGAGCTTGTAATATAGACTAAAATAAACCGATACATAAACACATGAAATGACCAATTTGTCCTCACATGAATGACACAATTTAACAGACTAACTGCTAAAAAAAGTGATGATAAACGATCAATTTCAAACTACAAGGACTATATTTGGATTTTCAGTATAACCATGGGGACCAAAAGTGGAATTTACTCATTGGAAAATAAAAATAATTTCTCATTAATACATTTTAATGTACAAATGGAAAGGCTACCATCGTTACTTTCACCACTCTCATCTTTCCGTTCATCTGCAGCACTCCGGCCGGTCGCCTCCGCCGCCGCCGCTCATTTCCAAATCGCCAGAGCATCATTTGGTTCATCCGGTCAGGTTAGTGCCAATCTATTCATATGTATTAATGCCAAATGATTTCGAGTGTTAGCTTTCTTATAGCTCTTAATTTGTTGAAAATTGATGCGTGTAGATGGAGGCGGAACAATATAAGTTTGGACCTTACAAAATTGATAGCAAGGAAGTGTTTTACTCTACTGATCTTTCATATGCTTTGGTGAATCTCCGCCCTCTTCTTCCTGGTAATTGTTCATTACTGTAATGCTGATTAATTTTTGTTTAGGGTTTCATTTTTGTTTTCATGCATTTTGACGATGGATTTTGTTCGATATCTTTTCATACCTGATACTGTATTGATGTTAAATGTTAATTCAATGATTAGATGCTCTACAAACCCTACCAACAAGTGTATAGTACCAAAGGTTTCTTTCATCATAGGAGAGATTATTTGACCGTTTCAAGGAAAAAGAAGATTTTCTATAGACCTAGGAGTAAGACGATTTTTATCGCAACAGGTAATAAGACTCAGGGGCGTTTGGCCGTTTACCAAAGGCTTACCGTACCGGGTGAGCATGGCAAAGACCGAAAATCTTACCCGGTAAAAGGCATAGCAAATACCAAAGAATCTTACTCGGTGAGTTAGGGAGAAGACTCTTAGCCGGTTAGTGTCTACTAACTAAGAGTCGCTTACCAACAATCCATTTTGATGGCCAAGAATGTTACCTGATAAGGTAGGTGAGACCGTGAGGGTGGTGAATCTTGCTGCTAAGTACTTACCCGGTAAGGTTTGTTATCCCACAAACATATTAACTTGATAGGAGGATCTCCATCGTCATGTGACTTCCATTTACAACATAAAAAGGAAATTCATGATAAGGGCTCCCTATATTAATTTACAACATTTATATCCGAAAACAACAAAAACTAGTCTTCTATCTCAAACTAGGTGGCATAGCGTTGGAGACAAAAATGAAATGAACCTCTTGATACAACCCCACTAAATCCTATGGACGTAAAGTGTGGGAGGTTGGATGTAACCTTTCCTTTATACCCAACCATTTTCTCTAGCCCAAGGGGTAGAGAGGCTGTTCCCATGGAAAACCCCGGGTTGTAAAACAAAAAAAAATCAAGAGGAAGATGAACAAGCTACATGTAAGTGTGGGTCCAATCAAGCAACGAATGCATTTTTATAGATACAAGTCTTCTATCATGATGGGTGCAAAAATTTCCTGCCTGGCAAGGGTTGGACCTTTGACCTGCTTAGAGCATCTCCAATCCTACTTCCTACATTTAAGCGGATGTAGGGAGTGAAATGCATAGAAATTAGTGAGGAACAAAATAATACATTGTAACCCCAATCATGCTCTCTACGTTATTTTAATAATATTTTTTTTTGCTTTTTAAATAAAACAAATCAAGAACATGAGATATGATGTACGTGTATATATAAAATAATGTAGAATTTTTGTAGGGAGCTCCTTGTAGGGTGTGAGATAATGAAAATTAATGTAGGGGAGCCAATGTAGGGAGTGCATTGGAGTAATGTTTTTTCATATCTGATTCCCTACAATAGTTAAAGAGCCAGTGTAGGGACTCCATTGGAGATGCTCTTAGACAACAATCACATTCACTATGGATAACACAATTGAAAATTTGATTTTCAGAACATAAAACGGGCATCATCTTTTTTCTCTTGTAAGAAAGAGGAGTGTATTAGAGTTCATAAATTACTTTGGAGTAACTGGGACATTGAGAAAAACAATGATGTAATACAGTGGCAACTGCAACTTTCATTCTTAGCCATCACTCATAATCCTTTGCTCACATTTTACTTATTTCTAACATATTCTCATTTTCTTTCACAGGTCATATCCTTGAACAAGCATGCACTGGCTGTACTTCATTATATGATCAGAAGTATTTCATATATCTTTTAGTCTCTGTGAATAAGCTTATGGTTCTGCCCTATGTTGTTAACTGATACTGATGGCGAACATTCCAAATTTCCAATTATACATGGATATGGACTATGGGGTCGTTTATGGAACTCTTACCCAATAAGTGCTTACATGGTGTCACTTACCTTACCGAGTGAGCATGGCAAGGATGAAAAATCTTTCACGGTAATAGGTATAGCAAGACCAAGAATCTTATCGGGTAAGTGAGGGACAAGACTTGCCCGGTAAGCGTTTACCGGGTAAGAGATGCTTACCAACAGTTGTTCTGATGGCCGAAAATGTTACCCAATAAGGTAAGTGGGGTGGTGACTTCAGTCAGTAAGTGCTTACCTGGTAAACGGCCCCTATGTGCGTAAATAACTTAAAAGGAGTAGTCTCCCATTGACTTTATGTCTTCCATATGCAATTCTGCATTTTGGGTATTGGAGACAAAGGTCATGTACACTTGATTGAAATTTTCTTTTTTGGAGTATACAAATATATGGCAAAAACTCACACACTCCTCACCTTTGGTGAGACTTGAACCCTTGACCTCCAAGAAGGTTGGGATCTACTGGTAGGTACCACTGTGCTAATGACCCTCTGGTCACTTGATTGAAATTTTATGAGCATGCCACTTGGTTTATAGACATGGAAGTATATGCTCTTTGTGTTGCCTTTTCATAACACTATTTATTCTTTGAATTTTTTTCTTGATCTCTTTGGTTGACTTGACAATAAGCACATGTGCTTGTCTGCCCAAGACGTGAAGTGAAGCGCTTTGTTGATCTCACCACGGAGGAGACTAGTGACTTGTGGATTTCAGCCCAAAAAATCGGGAGACTACTTGAGAACTACCACAAAGCTTCCTCGCTTACATTTGCAATCCAAGTAAGCTGGCTACATAATTCAATTCAAAATTTTATTATCCCTTGCTTGTGTCTTATGTGCATATATAACGGACACAAAATACATTGTAGCTCTGAGAATTTGTGTTTACTTTAGTATCTTTTATGACTACAATCACATGATATTGATTTTATGGTGAAAATTTATCTAGAAAGGATTTTTAAGAACACATGCATGAAGTTGCATAAACAATATTTGGATGAATACCAGTAAATATGCCAAATTATTGTTACCTCCATAGAAGTCGCATTCTGGGGATGATTGGCTGCTTTCCAAATCAGTAAGTGGAGAAGGCCAGATGTAGAACGGTAGAAGAAGATGAATAACAACAATAGTGGAGATTTTAGAGAGAAATACAAACCTCCAGTGGACTAATGATGCATAATCTTCTAGTAAACTACAACCCGAGATTTTCTATGGGTGCATAAGTAACATGCATGGTCAACCATACTGGATATTGTCCGTTTTATCCACACCTAGACTCATGATTTTAAAATGCGTCTGATAGAGGGGGTATCCAGTCCCTTATAAGGCAACATTTGTTCTCCTTCCCAACCGATGTGGGATCTCACAATCCACCCCCTCAGGGATCCCAATGTCCTCGCTGGCACACCAGTGGTCCCAGGTTCTGATACCATCAGTAACAGCCATGGTCAACCGTACCAGATATTGTCCGTTTTATCCACACCTGGACTAATGGTTTTAAGACTGTCTGATAGAGGAGGTATCCAGTTCCTTATAAGACAATCTTTTCTTCCCTTCCCCAACCGATATGGAATCTCACAATAATAAGATTATATTTGCATGAATAATAGTTTTTTTTGTTTTCATTCAATCCATGTTCATCTCATGTTATTAAGTCCTCTAAACTTTACAAACTTGTGTCAATTGGGATTTTCTCAACCATCAATGAGACATCTTTCAGGATGGCCCCCAGGCAGGACAAACAGTTCCTCATGTTCACATCCACATTGTCCCTCGAAAAGGCGGAGATTTTGAGAACAATGATGAGATCTATGAAGCTGTAAGTCCATACACCTCCTTTTCATCAATTAACAATTAGACATAACCTTGAGCTGAATGTGATCAAAATTTCACCCATAATTTGCTTATTATCAAGTACTCCTTTTTTTTGTGAAAATGTAAAGATAACACTTTATAGACAATTTGTGAAAGCGAAAACCCCATAAAAACTCAAAGAACGTTCCATTTCGGATGATCAAGTCCCTGAACCTTTTTTTCCCTTCCGAATACATTAAACCATTGAACTTTTAAAATTTGGTTACTTACATAACTCAAAAAAGCTACCTGTAACCGACTGGGAAAGTTTTAAAGTAGAAGAACATTTCACCGTTCGTAAACCCTACATCATTCAAACCTCTCTCGCCCAACAACATCGCTCTCAGAGCTACATTTTTTTTTTTTTTTTGCATTTGTAGGATATTTTATTGTTATTAATAATTTGTAGATTGATGAGAAGGAGAAGGAACTGAAGAAGACACTTGACTTGGACAAGGAAAGGAAAGATAGAAGCATGGAGGAAATGGCAAAAGAGGCAGATGAATACAGAAAGCTTTTCTCTTAATCCAACTTATTATGCTTTTCCCATTCATTATCTATCTTGTACTTTGAAATTGAAATAAAACAATCATACCCTCATTTGTCTTCCCAAATGCATTTGGGATTCACATGTGATTGAAATCCCAAAAATCTGAATCTTGTTTAGTAACATTAATTGGGAACATAATTTGTTAGATTTGCATACATCTTACTCTCCCAATTTCTATTTGCGTGAGATTTACTGGGTTTGTTTAATTCAGTAATATTTATGTTTACTGATTTATATGTATATATATTTTTCAAAAGTGTTTTGAGGGCATTTATGTTTCACTACAAAATGAAGCACTTTATTTTTAGTGTAGAGTGTTACCACACTGAAACAAGAATTCTTTTCTCCCTCTTATTTTTTTCAAGGTAAATTGCAATGGGTATTTAGGTATATGATCCTAAATGAGGTTTTAATTAAAACTATGACCTCCAGGCCTATTAAAAGAAAAATGGTTTTAGTTATGGATTTAATAAAAATCTATCTACTTTGAGATATTTAGGTACTTCATTTTTTATGGGATTTGGTTTGTATAATTTAGGGGGTGTTTGGGATTGCTTATTTAAAACAACATATGCTTTTTTTAAAAAGTGATTATCAACTTATCTAGCGTCAGATATGAGTTTATAAAGTGTTTAGATTAGCTTATGACAGTACCAAGACATAATAAGCTGATAAATTGTTTTTTAGTGTTTGACAAATTTTACTTATAAATGTAAAATGACAAAAAGAACCTTGTGAAATCAAATCAAACAAGAACCATCTCCATTTCTCCCATTTCTGTGAAATCAAACCAAACAAGAACCATCTCCATGGAAGTTGATTTTGCACTGAAGGTCGATGTCCATTGAAGGTTGGTTTTCGATTTTGCAGTGAAGATCGGTTTGATTTTCGATTTTTCAGGTGAAGTCGCTCCAATATGATGAATTGGTCTGTCGATGTCAATGTCGGTTGAAGGCCGCTCCAATTTTGCAGTTAAGGTCGGTTTGATTTTAGGTTTAGGGTAGGGAGTAAATTTAAAGAGTTCATTGGAATGCTTTTTTGGCTCCTTAGTTTAAAGACATAAATAGCCCACCACAACATCTCTAACACTCTAAAATAGAGAACATAAAAAAACAGGTTATTTATAACGGGTTATTAACCACAAAGATGATGTTTGATTGGTTTGAGTTTGGCTCCAAAGTACCAGGAGGTCACAGGTTCAAATCCAAGGACGAATAAAAATCCTCTTGTGGCCACGGAGGTTCAAATGCGATGACACCGGGCTATCTGCAAAACAGATGGTTGCCCTGGGATTAGTCAGCTCGCATATAGCGGGTTGAATATCCAAGTTAATAAAAAAAAATGGTCATTTATTTTATACAATAAATATGTGAAAATTGAAAAAAAAAATATTTGATTATTCAGTACAAGTTACCATATTATAATCCAATCAATATCATGTATACTTTTTATAAATAACAAGAACACAGAAAACAGACGAAAAAGCCATTTTGGCATTTTAACCAAGTATTCACTGAAATTTCCAGTTACATTATATTCTTTTCCTAGTCTTACAAAGTTAAATACATATTGACATTTTTTTACCCTATGGTTTGCTAATAATTACGACTTTCATCCCTCTTCTTTCAAAATTTCAATCTTCGTCCATGTGATTTGCAATTCATTGCTTCTTCATCCTTCTAAGTACAGAGTGACAAAAAGGCAATGAATTATGTAACCCACAAGGAGGAAACCATCAATACATTTTAAATCACAAAGACGAAAACGAGAATGAATTGTAAACCTTAGGGATGAAAATAGCAATTTTCGACAAACTATAGGGACGGAAAACGTAAACATTTATAACCTTCCTCAAGAAGATGAGTCAACTTGAAAAGTCAAAACTTTGTTTTTTTATGTTAATATCTAAGTAAGAGTGAGAGACCATAACTAGGTTTCAAGCCCAACCCCTGGTCCTGTTGAAGGAAATGGTGATTTGCATTTCTTCTGCAGTTCCACGAATCGATTGATATCGAAGTTATGTTTCTCCGCCAGCTTTCTTTGACGTAAAAGGAACAATCTTTTCATCAAATCTTGGTACGTCGGGTCCCTTGACGTAAACAGGAAGTAAGCATAGCCGATGATTAGCCCAGATGTGGTGGTAAAGAATGCGATCGGTTCCATGACATCCCAAGAGAATTCCCAGAAAGTTAGACGGAAAAAGAGGCTGATTTGTGCTAATGCTAGCCCGAGCCCGGTCCAGAGGATGCGGCGCACCTGCTTGTGAGCCAGGGCGTCGATTTCCTCCTGTTTTGCTTGTAGGATCCTCAGCTCCTCTCGCCTCGGGTCGTCTTCAGGTGTCAGGGCTAGCGGCACTGCGCTTTTAACCAGATCCACCACCTGATTTGGCCAAGGTTAATCCATCTCAATTATGTTGTGGCTTAAAAACTATATGCAAATAAATTGATATCTGCATGTGAGAATATGTGGAACCTCATAAGATTACTCTCTGAAAGAGCCCTTGGGAAGAGGGTTCCAACATATAATGAAGAGAAATAGTCAAAGCGTAGACGATGTGAGACTCTAACAAGCCATCTCCAACGGAGGCTAGATGGACAAAGATGTCCCAGATGATAGATCTTTCGCTCTGATATCATGTGAGAAAATATGTGGAACCCCATTAGATTACTCTGTAAAAGAGCCCTTGAGGAGAGAGAAAGGGTTACAACTTCAACATAAATTGAAGAGAGTGTCAAGTCTATCCGATGTGTGGAGGAGGCGAGATGGACAAAGATGTCCCAAATGTTAGATCTTGACTCTGATACCATGTGAGAATATATGTAACCCCATAAATTACTCTCCGAAAGAGTCAACGTAACGAAGTTTCAAAATTTCCTATTTAATGCAACAAAGTTTCAATTTCTTCTAATTTTTTTACCCATTTTAACCGTTACAAGTGATAGCTTGCTGATCTTGTAACATACGATAACGTGGACGTGAAGTTTATCATCCACCTCGCTGTAACCCTTTAGTAAGCATTTCTTAAACGGGTATCCACGTCATCATATGTTATCAGATCAATAAGGCACCAATCAAAACGGGTACAAAATAAGAAATTTTAAAACTACGTTAGTTCAATTGAGAAAAAAAAATTACTCGTTACACTAAATAGAGATGAACCCAAAGTTTGTTGCATTTTGCCCAGTATAACTAAGGGCTTGTTTGTTAGCAGCTCAATGAGCTTAATGAGGCCCTCAGCTTATTCGGTCAGCTATACATGACTGCTTGATAGTGGCTTAATGATATATAAAGTGACTTATTCAGTAAGCTTCTTGGGAGGAGTTTTATGCAGAATGCCAAGTTTTTTCCAAACTTCCCCCCCTCGATTGGCATAACCAAAATACATGTGTTTGGTACGCAAATGGAACTCGACAAGCAACAATGAGGTAGACAGGTGAAAGAATTGTATAAAAGTTTTAGGGTTGTAATTTGACATGAATAGTTTAGTAATTTACCAATCTTGTTCTATCTCCCTCATGTTTGTTCCACCTATTTTGGTGGGACAAGACAAATGCATTTTTGTCCCATCTTGTCTAAATGTCGCACCAAACGTGGGACAACACGTCTGTTTTGTCATGACCGGTCCTGATCTGAGTACCAAAATCATGAAGGGTGAATCTTGGCTGCAAGCAAAATTGTAGCATCGGTGCTCTAATCTATTATGTTATCTCCTGTCAGCATCTCCAACAAATTCTCTATACTTTCTCTCTAAAATAGAGAACCAAAAGTTGAATCTTTAAAAAAAATTACATTCAACTCTACATATTCTCTATTTAGAGAATATCAACATTTTAATTATATTATTAAAATATTCCATAATTTAATCACCCCAATAGACTTTTCTTTAAATTATATAAAATAATAATAATTCAATCTCATTGATGGGAATAAATAAAAAAGTTTTAAAGAATTCTCTAAGCTTCATGTTTTCTCTATTTTAGAGAACAATATAAAGAATCTGTTGGAGCAAAATAAAGATCAAAACCTTCATTTTGCTCTATTTTAGAGAATTTGTTGGAGATGCTCTAACCATTGATTCTAGCAAATACCATATATGCCTTTAAAGCGACACGCAGGTTAACATATATACTTCTTCTGACCCAACACAACAAAAAGAACAAATTAGAGTCCAAATCAATCCATAAGTCAAGCTCGTGTTCGAGTTTTTAAGATGGTGGCATGATGGTAGGGTTGTTTAAAACCAACAATGGCATCAACCACCATCCAAGTAACCTATCGAATAACGATGATCCTAAATTGGTTTGAAACTTGAATCAATCGTTCCTTCAAATCCATTTGTTTTTTAGGACACAACAAAAGAAGCTCTGCTATTGAAATGATACTGGCAATGCGCCATCACAAAAAGAGGTAGATAAGAGAGTTATTAGTTAGCTGATAAATTAGTCATGTTTGACAAAAACTAGTTGATAAGCCAGATGACAATGTAATGACCTAGAAAGACATCGAAAAATTAATTGTAAAAATATAAGGGGCCATAATTGGGGGAAAAAGTGGAAAAAAAAACCCCTAGAGCGTAAAAGATAGCTCACGCCTAATCAAGTGGAGCTTTTTTTATAAGCTCAAAAAAGAAGCCAACTTTTGGTTGCCAAATATGACCCAAATTCTAACCTTCCTAAATTGATAGAGCAAACAAATCGTCTTCAGAACATTGGAAACTGCAGTGCTTGTTTTCATTGTGCACTCAATTCCCGTGGCATGTAACAACTAGCTCAACAAAGAGTAAACACGGATGACTAGAACAGACTGCCTTGTCATAGGCCTATGGATCACACAAGGTCAAGCCACATCAGTGCTCTACAGACACATGAAGGGTGGTTCCTCCTGGACGGAGGTCCACCAAGCATGCACTAATGCGGGAAACTTTGGTAAACTAGAAATATCTACGGACTCTGTTTTCTAAAACATTTTAACACTTCCTTGTATCTTGCAGTATATGCTAGAACCCTCTAGATACTCGTAAGATGAATCTAGAATGCTGTTAGATCATCTCCAACCCTATTATCAGAAATCACCAAATTGGTGGGCCCAATATCATGAACAACCGTTCCATCTCTAACCACACGACATATATGCCGTTTCTCTCTCATCTTTGGCAAAATGCCGTTCTTTTTGCCTGCCAGATTTAAGCAATATACACAAATCTTATTTATAAACTCTCTTAACAAACCTTTCAAAGCTTTTAGGTTCGCCCCAAGTCCTAATGCTCCATGGTTCGTTAAGCCATCAAAGTGACATTATGTGAGATCCACACGGTTGGGAAGGGGAACAACGGTGTCTTATAAAGGAATGGATAATGCCTCTACTATACATGTTTTAAGACCGTGAGATAAAGCAAACAATATCTGATACGATTAACCAAGGATGTTACACCAGTGAGGACGTTGGCCTCCCTGGGGGTGTATTCTGAGATGCCACATCGGTTCAGGAAGGGAACAAAGGTTGCCTTAGACCGGATCGCTCCTATTAGACACGTTTTAAAACAATGAGTCTGATACAGAACAATATGCGGTGGGTTGGCTGGGGATGATGATTGATGCTCATTAAGTCTGACAAAAAACTAGGGCACTTAAACATCAATCCAGTGATTTCTTCACAAATCAAAGATCTAGTTCTCATGTCCCAAATGAGATGCATCACTTCAGTGCTTCACTTCTACTTCAATCATTACAAAGAAATACGCAAACAATCAACAAAATGCCTTCATAATAACAATATCAACTGTTTGCATAAAGAAATCCAACAATGCATGCATAGATATGAAGAGAGAAGGATTGTTGTACCTTATCTGGATGAAGATAAACTTTATCTCTAAAAATAATAACAACACCGGCCTCATCAAGAACCCTAACGAACTCCTCCGCTTCCTTGTTCGATTTCGTGACTCCCATACTCTCACACGCCTCCAAAAGCTCCGAATAACGAATCGTCTCCTTTCCTTCCGTACTTAATTTCATCTTCAACGCCTCAACATTCACCAATCTCATCAGCTTCTTCGCCTCCGCAAACGTTATACTATCATTACCGTCGTTTCTCCCTCTTCCTCCTCCTCCGTCCCCTTGCCCTAACCCTACCCCTCCGCCACCGCCACCGCCACCGCCACCGTCACTGCCAATCGAACTCGAGAACGAACAAGCACATAATCTATTATTAGATTCAACGTAACCGGTTTTCCTCCATCCAAACGGCACCGGTTTTGACCTAACAACCGCCGACGTAACGCCGTGCTTCAAAACCAAAATCGACGACCTCAACATCTTTTCTTTGCAGTTTCCGTTTCGCGTTTTAATGACATTTCAAACCATCAATATGTCAGCCATGGGAGTGGTAACAACTGAAGAATGAGAGCGGTCTTAGAGAGAGAAAACATTTGTAGAGAGAGAATATGTGTGTATATCGGTGGTGGTGGTGGTGGTCATAGTAGTAGTGGTGGTGGGTGGGAGGGAAGACCGGGAAGACTGTCTGTTTTGACCGAATAAAGCGAGTGATGATTAACGGACACGATTTCCCGCATAATATTTGCAAGTTTCTACAAATGGAAAAACACACAACGTCTTTTCAAGTGCACGTGGTCGTATTATACTAAAATTAGTTGTCTTTCTATGTAATGCAAAATGATGTAAAATACGGGAAAAATTATGGAATGGTTATCGGATAAGTGTTTATTGATAAAATTTAATATTATATTTATTTATTGGTAAAATTTTAGTCTATTAAAATGGTAACGTATCTAACAATTTATCTGATAAGTACTAACTGTGGTAAGAGTCATCGTCTCACTTATCAAGTAAGCGGTCGTTTACCAAACACCTATCGATAAATGTTTATCAGTAAAATTCAACGTAATTGTTTACTTACCGGGTAAGATTTTAGTCAACAAAAACTGCATCTTATGCAACAATTTACCTGGTAAGCGCTAAACGTGACAAGAGTCAATTCCCCACTTACCGGGTAAGACTCTCTGTCCTTATCTCGTTTTTACCGGGTAAGATTCTTGGTTCTTACCTTATTTATCCAATAAAATAATATGACTTGATAGGCGTTTACCCAGGTAAGTGTTTAGTAAACGACCCCTAAGACTATCGGTTCTTGCCTTTGTTCTTATCAGGTGAGATTCCTGGTCCTTGCATATTCATCTGATAAGGTAATATGACTTAGTAAACGCTTATTTGAGATTTTCTGGTCCTTGCATAGTTGCATTACAAAACCCGCCCCATCCCGGCCCCGTTGTCGTGCCTAATTATGACATGATGAATGATCATGTGAGAATAGGTAATAAGGTCAGAAGTTTAAGAAAAAATTTGGACCCTTGATCACTTTTAAATCCAAAACAACTCGTGAATTGCATATTAGAGGGAAATTGACCTAGTATCTCATTAGTGTTGACTTAATGATTCTCTTTGATTATGATCAATCCAAAGGTAGAGATCTCTTCTTACCCTTCTCATCATAACTTTCATTCTCACTAGAACTCAACCACCATGATAAAAATGCAATATCTTCCTCATAAATACTCTAAAGAAGATCGATATATTTGATGGCACTCGATAGATTGTCAGAATCTTGCTCGACTAAGGGGCCATTTACCGAACGCTTACGAGGTAAGTACTTACCAGCAAGGAGTCACCACCGTCATTTAGCTTGTCAGGTAACATTTTCAGCCATAAAAATGAACTGTTTGTAAGTGTCTCTTACCCGGTAATCATTAACCGAGTAACAGTCTTTTCCCTTACTGGATATGATCTAAAACAAACTACGTTATATTTCGATACATTTTGGCCAAGAAAATGAATATCTGAAATAACCTTCAATAATGAGAAATAATTTATATTGAAGCTTTCTTAATGGAAAATACATTTTTTATAAATATCAGGGGTAGCAATTTCTGGGCCAAAACAGAAGACTATCAATTGGCTAAGCATCAAAATAGAACTAAACTATACACAGTTTGAATTCACAGGATGTGTAATTACATAATTATCCTTTCTTTTTTGTACTGGGTGAAGACTGAGATCAGCTGGTATGGCTATGAGTCTTCTTCCTGAGAGTTCTTACCATCCCTTTGGCAATCTTGAAGAACCAGAACAAATTCATCACCGCTAGCACCGGCGGAATTATATGCAGGCTGTAAAAGGCCGCCGTATGGACTTGTCTCACCTGAAAAAACCCGACAATCCGTTTTCATTTCAAGAACCGTTAAGAGGGACAACTTGGTTTTGGCGCAACGGTTAAGGCTCATCTTTCCCATGTTCAAATCCAGGCGCTTCTAAAACCCTTGTGGCCATGGAGGTTTATCTTTTTTGAGGTTTGGGTCCTTTTACCTCGTGGGGGCTGCCTTCTACTGGTAACTCAGATACTATTGGGCCAATGATCCATTTGTGGGTCTCATGTTTCGTGCTACACTCAGATCATGAAAATGGGACCCACAAAATGGACGAAACAAATGAACCCTCAAACAGGTTCTTGTTTTTGGTAGGTGTGCCTGGAGTCTATCGCATGTAAACCTCCATGGCTACAAGGGTTTTGGTAGTGCCTGGATTCGAACTCACGGAAGATGAGATTTCCACCACATCCTCATGAACCTTGACCAGTGTTTTAGCCATGGGGTGTTTGGATGCGATGCTAAAGAGACACCAGAGTTGCCACAAGAAAATTGATTACAAAAGCTAATATAAAATTACCTAACTACCCCATAAAATCTTAAAAAAAGCACTAGAAGATTAATTTACAAAAGTGACTTATGTAGGTAATATAACTATGTATGCATGGGTTGGGTTCCGGTGAGAAGGGAAGTTATGGTGATAAGCGTAAGAAGAGATTTCCACCCTTGGATCAATCATAATTGAATATCAATACTAATGAGGTAATTCCCTTCTAAAGGGCAATTCATGGGTGGACATGAGATTAAAAATGATCAAGGGTTCAGATCTCTTCTTATGCTTCTCCCTATAACTTCCCTTCTCACACAATCCTTTGCCGATACGTATATACAAGATTGAGGTTATTTTACGAAAACATGAAAACGCCATATGACGTTATATTGTAGTCCATCACATGTGATTACATCAAAGACGAGGGACTAGCAAATTTGTATTATCACATGTGATATGGGTGTTCTTGTTTGAACCCAACCCTATATAGAGAGAGAGAGCGCAAATCAAATACAAACCGAATAAATGTTACAAACTTACAGACTGGCTTTCATGTGTTGTTTTGTTTTATAAATGAAACAACACATGTGAAACATGCAGCATTCACAAAGTCTTGTTTCATATTTGAAATGTTCAACATTGTTTTGCGTGTGGAAAAAAACACGAAAATACGTTTATACATGAAACACACACAAGAACAAAATATATGAAACAATATGAATCATAACTTAAATCAAACTCACTAAATGGTTCGGATTAGTTTTCACAGGTTTGTATTTGATTATTGATCTACACAGGGAGGATCAAATAAAAAAAGCAAAAAGGTTGAGAATGTACGAATATATGATTCATTTGTGAATCTTGGTAGAACATAACATGGGTTCACATATACTTCTTCATACGTGAATAATTGGTAAAAGGGTAGGTAAAACGTGGATATATGCATCTTCGAATGTATATATGAATAATTTATTCTTATGTTCTCAACCTTTTTGCCTTTCTTATTAAAACCTTCCCCTTGGTCTCTCTCTCTCTCTCTCTCTCTCTCTCTATATATATATATATAATATATATACAGACTTCAAAGATCAAGTGTAAACAATTTAGACGATTTACCTCATCAATGTGATTATAGATGTGGTAGAAAAAGAAGCCAAACAACAAGATCCTTGCAACCTGAATGAATCATAAGCTTTCATTTAAACATTTTACTGTAAAAAACACCACAAGAACAACGAAGAAATTAGTCATATGGTACACGTACCAGCCACCCTAAGAACATTGCAATACCATTCCACAAGTAAAGCTTCGAAGCCTTCATACCCGCAACATCCAAATACCTGCATTCGTGTCATTAACGATTTTCCAAGCTATGAACGCGAATAAATAAAATTTTCAAGCACGTTCGTACACTTTGGTTACCATCTTATGTTCACAAAGGGTGTTGTACTCTCCGTGAAAAGAACCATGAAGATGTACATCTCAGCTTCGCCACTTAACACTGATTGCGTGATTGCAAACATCGACAAGCCATGGTGCAATACCTAAGAAAGATACAAACACAAGTTTGTCAAAGGGTTGACTTTTTGGATTTAGTCTCTTAGGGTGTGTTTGGTACACAGGATAGGACATAACAGAATACGGATCACTGTCCCACGTTTGGCAGGACTTATATGTGGAACAAATGTGTTCTACCCTCATCCCATGGCACAAGGTGGAACAGACCTATATTTTACCAATATAACCTCAAAATAAAACCTAATTCTCTTCTAAAACAACAAATATGTCTCCCTCTTTAAATTTATTCATTCTTTAAATTTTATTTATGGTATTTTATGCTTTAAAGTTTCATTTTACTGTCCTCATAATATTATTTTTATATGTTTCTATACTTTGATTAATTTATGTAATTTATTAAACATTAATAATAACAAAACAATATAAAAAATATATAAAATAAAAATTGGAAACTACATTAACCTTTTATTTTGGTGTCATTTTAATCGTCTTGACGAAAACTTTTAAAGATATATTTTGTTATAAAAATATTTATTTTATTATAATTTAATAAATTACATAAATTAATCAAAATATATAAACAACTCATTAGGGGTAAATTGACATTTTATAAGTTTTGTCTTACCAAACGCTAAACAGTTGTTTTGTCCTGTTTTGTCCTGTCTGGATACCAAACACACCCGTAATCACTACTTGGCAGATCCAACTAAAAAATATAACTATTTTGTATTGTTTTATGCAACTATTACTGTTTTTGTTGGTTGGGGGAGGGGGGATTAAGCGATAAGAGTTGCTTACATATTCAAGACCGCCTAAAGTTGGATAAGTCCAAATAATCATGGCCATGTCCGACAAAAAATAACCGGAAGACATCTGCAATGATACAAGAAAAAAACAAGTGAATTAGTGCATACCCATGGAGAAAATGTCATGAAACAGACACAAGACGCCAATAAACAACATAAAATGTTCCACTAGACACAATTAGTCATGTGCTGGCATAAACGTTGTGTTCTCGAATTTGGGAAGAAAGGAAAAGAAAGAAATTTTCCTATTTGTGTTCTTGAGAGTGAAGGGAAAGAAAATAAATTTTCATGTTCTTGAGCAGGAGAGAAAGGAAAGGAAAGAAAAGATGTTATTTTTACAAATATATCCTTATTTGTTTTATAGCAGATTGTAATTGATGGGTAAATATGTGATTTTATAAATATTTTTAATTGTTATAAAAAATTTCCTTTCTTTTCCTTCCATTTCCTCCTGCATTTGGGAGGAAAATCAACATTATTTTCCATCCTTTTCCTTTCCTTTCTCTCAAGAAAAACTCAAGAACACTTTTTTCTTTCCCTCCTACTTTCTTTTCCCTCAAAAAACTCAAGAACACAAGAATTTTTCTTCCCTCCTGCTTTCCTTTCCTTCCCTTTGTAAAAAAAGACTCGAGAACACAGCGAACATGTTCCATAATAGATCAAGAAAAAATGTCGAAAACCCAGTTGCATAAAAACTTCTAGAAATATGGTACAAAATTTGATCTCAAGTATGGTGATTAGGGAAGGCGAAATAGTTTAAATTAACTGCTCATAGAGCAATATATTATGTCAAAATCAGACATACCCCAAGTATGGTGTCCGATAAGGTAGACCTTCTCTTGATGATCAACCCGTCATTGACATGTTCATCAAAAAGATCCGAAATGAGCAAAAAGTAAAAAGAAGCAACAACCACGAAAAGCGCATGGAAGGTGGAGAAACCCCTGAAAAAAGGAAGCTAACAGCACATTAGCTAAAGGAACTGTAATAAAAAGGTAAAGAAGTTGAAAAAGAGAACGATGAGTATGAAGATATAAGTAAATAACCGGTTTTTCCATTCAAGTTTATGTGCGTTGCTGAGTTTGATGAAACCTTTGAAGACCAAGGGGGTAATTATTCCTGTAAATTCATAAGACTTCAAGAAGAAATGTAATTGTTTAGACCTTTTTGAACGATGGACGGTGCATAAAACAAGAAGATATCAGATGAAGTTGGCATTTAATCTCAATAAAAGAGAAGCACGTAAAGAGGCAAGTAAAACAAAGAAAAAGTTTAACTACTTTTTGAGAACTTCTATATACTCACTCCATCTCAAAATAAGTGTCCACGTAACTATTCTAGTTTGTCCCGAAACAAGTGTCCACTTTTGGAAGTGTCTATTTTCCAGTTCTACCTTAATTATGAGATGGAGAAAGCCGTTATTCCCTCTATTATTAAGGGTAAAATTGTCATTTAATTAAGTAAAGGGTGTAAAATAATTACACATTTCTAAAACTGTACGTCTTTGTCATTGTGGATATTTATTTTGGAAGAGAGGGAGTATACTGCAAGGATATTGATTTAAACACATTAAATCAGAAAATGTATACACTTCTCTATTGTTCTATTTCTATATAAGCATAATATGGCAACCTGTTCACCATTTCATCTTACTTATTGCACGTTTATACACACTCTTGCTGCTTTTTTAACCAGTCTCTAGCATTCGTCTTTCCCTTATCATTTTGAATTGCAAGGTGGGGGTCTTCACAAAAACAGTCTCTCTACTCCTTGGGATAGAGGAAAAGTCTGTGTACATCCAATCCCCAAGACCCTATTAGCAAGTGGGATATATTGAGTTCGTTTGGTTTGGTTTGTTGAAATAAGAGGTTGGAAACTACTAGCAGGCATATTCCCTGGGTTTGAATCCAGGCGCTGCCACTTGTGGCCATGGAGGTTCTCCTAAGATGACTCTAGGCCATTCGTGGTCTCCCGGGAGATTAGTCGGTGTGCGTAAGCTGGCTCAGAAACCAATGATTACCCAAAAAAAACTTTGGTTAGAAGCACCATATGGTGATTATTGCACCAAAGTTTGTTGCTATTTCTTAGAAATATATATATATATATATATATATATATATATCAATTTACTTCTGAAGAATCTAATATAACAATGATAAAATATCAGTTCCTCCCAATACAAGGATAAAGGAAGGAGAAGGACTATGAAAATGGTATCAAATTTTAGAAACCATTTCAACCGGAAGTAGACAAGATGAAACTCGATCCAAGTAGCTCCATTCCCTACAATGGTAGGAACACCAAAAGGTGGTATGCGGTTAAGGTAAAATGGTTAAGGTCCCATCGTATATTTTCCTACTGAACCACAAAAATCTTCTTTAATGCCCAGAAAAAGTTTCTTGCAGCACATAAAAAGAAACCTAATAAAGCTTTGAGTTTGATACACACCGGAGTAGTAAAGGGCAATATGGTAACTTCATAGGTAGCAAGTTGTTAGATGGGATATTGCGTGGTTAAATTACTTTCTGTTGCATCAGTAGTTGTAACTTGTAAGTATAAATAAGAGGTTTGGGTGGCCTGGGCTGGCATTCTGTTTTGTAACCCTTTGGACGCGACTCTGTGGAGAGATAGTCCTCTAGAAAGCCAAAAACCTACATGTAATCATCAGGTTTCCCCATTAACCATTCGCTTACATTTGCAATTCCATCCTATTTCTTTCATATGCTTCCAATTAATATGCCAAAAAACAAGAAAATGGGGCAACATGGGTCACCATTGATTTAACATATAATTTTCGAACATCTTGTAAAAGGGACCAACTATCCAAATCATACAAGCGGACCCATAAGCAAAAGTGTTATTGAGACGTGTTAAAGTCCCACATTGGCTAGACTTGGACCATTGCTCCTCAATATACGTCAGAAGGGCTCTTTTGAAACAATAATCTAACAAGGTTCCACATGTTCTCACAAGATGCATGAGGCATCACTATAAAACTATTACAATCACTATGCATGCCTTTGTGCACCGCTAATGCCAATATTTTAGTGCATGCATGAACTACTCTATTGCCATTCGAACTTACAAGTTCCAACACAATTGACAACATAATCAGACTTAAAAGCACATATTCACTGCATAAATGTAAAATAGACAAAAGTAGCAACAAATACTTACAAGTTTACACATAATGATGCCCCAAACAACGGATAACAACCATCGTCTTTCGGTACTTAAACTTGCATAATCATCGATTATATTTGAACAGATGGAAGTATAATTCAAACCCAACATGGTTCTTCTATGTATGCGATCCCAAGGTTCAATAACCTACAGAGAAAACATAATACACGAATCAACACAAACAAAACCAAAACTGAAAACACAATTCAAGTGTCAAATATCATTGATTACATAAATTAAGTCACGAAACCGTAACATGAACATGCGATAAGAATCTATAAACCTACTGGGTTTTACGAAATAAAATAAAATCTTCAAATCTGTTGGAGCAAAAACGAAGGACCCCTCTGATTATAAAAGAAATTGATTGATTGAGAGGTTCTTTAAGGAATTTAAGAAAAAGGGATGATCAGAATTTGTATTTATATTGATGAATAATATAATGAATGATTGAAAAGAGAAAATGATTGAATGAGAGTTCTGAAATAGCGATGGTGTTCTTACCCTGATCGGTAATCAATGGCGGACAAGGGTCTGTGCCCATTGTTTTGGAACCGGAGATATATACGGAGTAGAATTGCGATAATCGGACCTCCGATACCTTCACATGATCCCCGTTCACTTGCATTTGGATTTGGGTTTTCATGGAAAGATATTTTCTCATTAATGTTTTGGAGATGATAATAACGGTAAACAAAATGACCAAATTACCCTTTGATTTATTTTTTATATAACCAAGGAGTTAGCTACGGATCCAGAAATTTTTTCAAACGGTGGCACCATATAACTAATATAGTATAATATACATCTAAAAATAATTGCAAAAATTATGGTTTTTATAGTACCGATAAACAACTCCTAAACTTGTACCCGACGAGTCTTCATCTTTTGAAAACGGTCAATATATACCCAAAAATAATTACAAAAAGTATGGTTTTCGTTATTTGGGCTTTGTTTTGTTTGGGTTTTAGTTGCACCATTTGGATTTCAGGGAAATACGGTAGCACCGTTAACAAACCTAATTTTTTACCCTTCGGCCGCGAAATAATACGGTTACACGTGCCACCCATGCCATCACACCAGGTCCATCCATGGCTTATTTGATCGGCTACCATGACTTAACGATACTAAAAGGGTACTCGTGTAATGAATCGAGATATATCTCGATTTTAATGTTTAGTTTTTAGTTTTTATCTTTATCGATATAATACGGTTTTATGTTGTTTTGAGAAAGCAATAATGTTTTTATTTTTTAAATGAAATATAAATTTGAACATATTATAAAATTTTGAAAAAAACTATATGGATATTAATATCAAATTAACTATCTAGTAGTTCTCCCTTTTTTTTATTTAATTTATTTAATTCAATTTTCCTATTATAATTTAATTTATATTTAATAATAAATTAATTTATTTTTGGTTTAATAATATAATTTTTTATCAAGATAATAATTAAGCATTATGTTATAACTCAATTCGTTATCTTGATTATGTTTCAGATTTTCTATATTTAAAATTAGATGTTTATCCTATATTTTATTATGTTTATCTGTAGTTAGTTACACAAATTTAAAAAATAGAGCTTTGATAAGTTATATGTGAAGTATGTGTTGTTTGTGCAATATGATATGGTTGAACAAAGTCACTCCGTTTTTAAATTCGCCATGTCCCTGCATCAAACCCTTTTAGAAGAACCATTATCACTTGGTTCGTTTAGGGGGTGTTTGGGATTGCTTATTAAAAACAACTTATGTTTTTTTGTAAAAGTGCTTATTAACTTATGTGTTTTTTGTAAAAGTGCTTATTAACTTATGTGGTGTTAAACCAGAGTTAAATAAAACAGTGTTAAAATTGTAAATTGGTAATAAGCAGTTTTCCATAAGTCAGGAAGGATTAACTTATCAAAAACAGCTTATTACCGGTTTGGCACCGGTATAAACAGTTTTTTTTTCTTATCCAAACACCATAAAACAACTTATTATCGGTGTCAGGCTGAAATAAGTTAAAAAAACTTTTATAAGCAATCTCAAACACCACCTTATCTTCCATTGCGACATAGGAGGAGTGAAAGCATCGAGCACCATCTTGTTGCACACTGAACTTTGTGCCATATCTTCAACGTATCACCGTTAACCTCATTAAGTTAGGAGATTCCACCGTAACACTATTTTGAGTATACATATTTTCACACGTTGCATTTAAGTCATTCATGTTTTTGTTTTGCCCTGATCATTATAATATTTCATCTGCTAAGACATAATAACAGCTTGAGATAATCAGATTATAGAAACAACACTATGTATATAATACCCCGCCTATAACTCTATACCTGTATATATATATATATAGGGGCCTAATCAAATGAGAACTAACTAGTTTGTGGTAACTGTGAGAACCAATATTAACCACAAATTAATAGATAAATTAGGAAATTTATAATTTTGGCAATTTTGAATTAAAATATTAATTGTTAGTCTCGAAGGGTAAGGCAATAAACATAAAGTAATTGTAGAAGGGGGGGTTGAATACAATTACACAGATTTTTTTTTTAACTTTTTAATTCTTATTGATTTATATCAAGAATTAATACACACAGAAATACAAAAGATTGTTGCGGAAGATAGGAAAGGAAAACCTAACCTAAACAATCTTACAAAGAGAAGAACTTTCAAGAACAACAC